AACATTACCCTAGAGAAAAGTCATGTTTATTAGCTATATATATATATATATATATATATATATATATATATATATATATATATATATATATATATATATATATATATATATATATATATATATATATATATATATATATATATATATATATATATATATATATATATATATATATATATATATATATATATATATATATATATATATATATATATATATATATATATATATATATATATATATATATATATATATATATATATATATATATATATATATATATATATATATATATATATATATATATATATATATATATATATATATATATATATATATATATATATATATATATATATATATATATATATATATATATATATATATATATATATATATATATATATATATATATATATATATATATATATATATATATATATATATATATATATATATATATATATATATATATATATATATATATATATATATATATATATATATATATATATATATATATATATATATATATATATATATATATATATATATATATATATATATATATATATATATATATATATATATATATATATATATATATATATATATATATATATATATATATATATATATATATATATATATATATATATATATATATATATATATATATATATATATATATATATATATATATATATATATATATATATATATATATATATATATATATATATATATATATATATATATATATATATATATATATATATATATATCTATAGATATATATATATATATATATATATATATATATATATATATATATATATATATATATATATATATATATATATATATATATATATATATATATATATATATATATATATATATATATATATATATATATATATATATATATATATATATATATATATATATATATATATATATATATATATATATATATATATATATATATATATATATATATATATATATATATATATATATATATATATATATATATATATATATATATATATATATATATATATATATATATATATATATATATATATATATATATATATATATATATATATATATATATATATATATATATATATATATATATATATATATATATATATATATATATATATATATATATATATTCTTTTTTTCCACTGTTTAATACCTTCTTATAGTAAACATAATAAAATAGTTTAATTAATTCAAGTTTAATAATACTGCATCTCAAACAGGATGCAATATAGAATAGCTTTTGCACAGCTTTTAATAGCATAGTACCATCAAGTGGTCACACGGTGAAATATCAGGCCATTCGCTTCCTAGGTAAAGTTTCTCTCAGTCGCTTTGGAAAATTTCTCACAATACTATTTACATTTGCACAAAAGTTAATGCATTTCTCAAAACAATTAGTCATTTGTGCACATAGCAGTTTCTCATTCCTTTCAAAAAATTGCAAATGCTTAAGTAAAGCATGCTTATAAAATGCTTAAACTCTCTGCTGTTTTATAATATTATCATTAATTTGCTTATATAATGTCAGTCAAAAATAACTAAACTTGTGAATGTTGAATATTCATTCCACATAAAACTAATAGTCCTCATTTCATTGAGTCATTACATACAAAAATGTTGAACTAGCTGTCAAAATCTGTCAAGCCAGTTTTATTATTATTTTTTTAAATGTCCTCTTAATTGAACAATTTCATTAATGATTTACAGACTTGTGTGTGTTGTAGGTTCAGTTCCAATATGTACTGCAATATTGTTTACAGTTGTGCACAGCTCTACCCAAAAGGAAGTTTTTTTTTTTTTTTTTTGTGTGTGTGTAAATAAGGGTATTTATTCTTTTGCACAATGCTGTGAATAAATTAGAATTGTAAAGAGCAAATGCAGTAAAGATGTGAAACACATATTCAGTGTCTTGTACTCAGATACCTCACTAAATGCAGTGAGGTCTAACTTTACTGTAGCTTTCAAATGGCTGTGCAAATAGTATATAGGGCTGTTTTGAGCATTTTCAGGAAGTATCATCAAAATCTGACTTTTGTATTGGATAAATGTAGAGTAAACGGTCATAATAAAAACATGACAAAACCATTTGACTATCTTGTTCATAAACAAGAGTGTCAGGACTTTTCATCTTGATGACACTGACACTTTCTGTAACGTGGAGTCTGACACGGAGGGATCCATTTGCAGTATATTTAATAAACACAGTTTAATCACAAAATACGCACTTGCATGCGAACTCACATCAAACGTGGTTATATTGGGTCTAAGGGCTGGTGGCTGGCTGTCAAGCAGTGTGATAGCAGGCATGGGTGAGAGGCAGGCGTCGTGGGTCAGAGGCGAGGTATCAGGCTAGGTTCAGGGCAGTCGGCGTGAATTAGAGTCATGGTATCAAGCAAGGTTTAAGGCAGGCAAGGTCAATAAACAGTCCAGGTAATACACGGGAGATCAGGCAAGGTCAATAAATAGCCCAGGTAATACACGGGAGATCAGGCAAGGAGATAACACTAAGTAATGTCAGCAGGGCAGAACAAGACTTCGCAAAGAAGTGAGTGTGTGAGCTGCTTATATGAGTGTGTGGATCATCAGCGGGATGAGCTGCAGGTGTGTGTAGCAATCAGTGTATGAGCATGACGTAATGTCTAGAAGTCCGGTGATGATGACCTCTGCTGGCCAGCGAGGGAAATGACTGTCGGTGACACTTTCATTGACATGATTACTTGCTTTTGAGGAATGAACTCCATGTTGAGCAGATGACACACTTTTGTAGGTTATCAACTAAGTTTTGCAGTTTGTACTAATTGTTTTAAGAAATGCATTAACTGTTGTGCAAATGTAAATAGTGTTGTGAGAAATTTTCCAAAGCGACTGAGAAAAACTGTAAATAGAAAAATTAATTAATCTGAAACAAAACTGAATTTATTTGAATAGATACACTGAAAAATTATTCACTGGATTGGCAATTTTTAAGGTATGTGGTTGCAAACAAATTATATGGGCTGAATTTAACCAAACCGATTAAGTTGAACATCACTAAATTGTATTTAAATTTTTGTATTTGTATCAATTGTTTGCATGCACTTACCTTAAAATAAATTAGTAAGTACCACTTTTTACTAGTAAGTACCAACAGACAGATTGTCAGACAGACAGACAGACAGACAGACAGACATATAAACAAACAGACATACAGATAAACAAACACACATAAACAGACAAACAGACAGAAGGACAGCCAGATAAACAGACAGACATAAAACAAACAGATAAACAAACAGACATATAAACAGACAGACAGAAGGACAGACAGATAAACAGACTGACAGACAGGACAAACAGACAGATAAACAGACAGATAAACAAACAGACAGACAGATAAACAGACAGACAGTCAGATAAACAGACAGACAGATAAACAGACAGACAGTCAGATGAACAGACAGACAGATTTATATTTAGCATAATATTTATTGGTCTTTTTTAAATATACTGAAACCATCCCAGCTTTTTAGACTTACAGAGACAAATTAATAAATACATAGGCTATTATGCAAAACATTTGTAATGAGGAAAAAAACAAATGTATTCATTGTAATATATTAACTTCCAGAAGTCACCATTAATCTTGAATTTAGCAGTGCGGAGCTCGGTGTGGGTGTGAACGGAGCAGCGCAGCTGTCCGCCGGTAACGGGCGCTGCCGCCGCTAGTGATGGAGAAAGAGAGAGAGAGAGAGAGATAGAGAGAGAAAGAGAGAGACGGAAGGAGGGTGGGGACGTCGAGCCATTATCGGGATAATCGCACCTCACGCTCGGCCGCAGGAACGCTGAGCTCGCGCTAATCGGCGTTGGAAGAGACGCGCTGGGGAAGATTGAGTAAACAAGTGGGGTTTGGCTGGAGCTTTATTCCAGGTGAGGTTTTGCAGATGATACACGCGGGGATCTTTTAATGGTGTCCTGCAAACACGTCTCTGAGTTCAGCTTCACTGCCTGTACTGCTTCAGGGGGCCAGACATGCTGATTTTAGCTATAGGTGAATGAGCGAATTGGCAGATTGAGGCTGCATGCAGTTAAATGGGTCAATAAATGAAAATGAGGATGGGGTGAGGATCAGGTGGTGTACCTAATACCCATCGTTTTTCCTATTGTACGCTGAAATGCAACGCTCTGACAGCACTGCGTGGCACAAGTTGTCGCAGTACTTGGATGCAACTGTTTGCATGCATAATAAATCAAGATTTTAAAAGGTTTCATTTTCTGTGGGTCACATGGTTTATTTATTGGGTGGTGGATGGTTGGTGAGGGATTAATTTTGGTGCGCTGTGCAGTCTATATTTAATGCTTATGCAGGTTTGGGTGTGAAAGTAGTCATTCACTCTTCATGTTTACCTCTACTGATTTTAATCTACAATTGATAAGTTCCGCAAGCAGAGCAGCTGACACCTAAATCCAAAAGTTTAATTATATATTTAATTTGATTAGTTATTGTGTGTATGTGCGTGTCACATTTACCTATTTATAGACTAGCTTATTTCATTTACAGTACTGAGCTAATGATAAGTAAATAACTTATTTACTTAAAAGTAAATAAGATATATATATATATATATATATATATATATATATATATATATATATATATATATATATATATCAAATATTTAATAACATTTAATTATTTGTTAGTTTTTATTAATCTAATTTAACTTATTTTTGTTTGCTTGTTTTATTAGGGTGTCTGCAGGGTCTTAAAAAGTCTTAAAATGTCTTACATTTTAAGACTAAACACCTCTACAACTAAATTTTAGGCTTTAAAAAGTCTTAAGTTCACTGAAATATTGTGTAGTAGGTATTTAGTCATTTCAAACAGGTCTTACATTTTCCTCTGTCCAAGTAAAGCTACCCGATCGGGCTGATTTCAATCCAATCACCAACAATCTATCTTAATAAAACCTTTTTTTTTAAATATATATTTAAGTTTATATTTAGTTTTTTTTATATAGCAAAGAGATACAATTTACAATAGTTGTTCAGATTTTAACAGCAATTTCTCCAAGTTAAATTCCTCAATCATGAAAAGATTACAGTTTCTCGTGATAATAATGGAGCAATCTTTTTACATTATCTTCCATTCATAGAAAGACATAATATTTATAAATATGAATGAAACTTAAGGATTTATAACAGATATGCATTTAGGTTGAATGAAAGTTATACTCCTAAAGCCAACAAATATATGTTTTAAATTTTTTTTTCTGTAATTGTCTTTACAATAAATATACTTTTAACATCGTTAAACTTGTCAATAAAAATGAATAAATAAATATTATGTTGAAAAAAGTGGAAACAACTAGAGTTTCCTTGTTTTGACAAATTAAAGAATGTAGCTAAAAATAATTACATTATTTTTTTTGTGGCAAACATTAGAAATATTCATTAGTGTTTTGCTCTGTATAAGTCTAAAATTAAATGCATAATGGTCTTAAAAGGGTCTTAAAAAGTCTTCAATTTGACTATACACTGATATAATTTTCTATTTCCTTAAAACTTGTTTTGTCATTTATTTATTTAGGTACGTTATATAAAATATAAAAGCAAATTTATTTTCGATTGTTGAAGTAAATGTATTTAAAATACATTTATAGTAATTGGTGGACTATAAAACCCAAAAAGTTAAGGTAACTCAAACCGTTTGAGGAAACCGATCGCTACAAACCATTTAAATTATAAAACTAATCCATATGAGTACTGTGAACTTACTCCATTTAAGATGAAGTAATGAGGTATTTAATTAACTCTTTACCTTCAACACTGAGTTCAAAACTCTTTTCAAATGAGCAGAATTAACTTTCAGTCAATTTTGAGTTAACTACAGTCATTTCATTTGATAAAGTTGACTGTTGGTTTTACAGCGGGTACTGGGAAACTATTTAACCAATAACTTTATTATGTATGTATTTCTATATTTATTTAGTCAGAGAGTTTGTTAATAACCAAGTTAATAATCCTGAGCTGTTTCCTTCAATTTAACCACCACAAAATGACATACAACTAATAGATTGGGTTTTATTTGGTCATTTCATATATATTTACAGAGAGCTCTGTCTGGTCCCATGGTGTAGAAGATTAATAGTGTGGGGATATTTTGCTCCCACACTGCAGGCAAAAGCTTACACACACACACACACACACACACGCACACGCACACGCACACACACACACACACACACACAGCTCTGTCTGTCCTTGCTTACAGATCACCTTCTCTCTGTCGCGTCAGGAATCTGACACCATGACTGCAGAGGAGATTATAAACATTAAAGAAGCTGAGATAATCAAGCTGATCCTGGACTTCCTCAACTCCAGAAAGCTGCACATCAGTATGTTGGCATTAGAGAAGGAGAGTGGCATCATTAATGGACTTTATTCAGATGACATGCTCTTCCTGAGGTGAGGACTAAACTGAAAACCGTTTAATCCACTCTATTTAAGGGATAGTTCACCTCAAAATTAAAACTCGCTGTAAAGGCAAGACACTACTAGTGATTAGGATAAAACTAATAGTTATTCTTGTATTTACCTCATGGACTGATTATTTAAGAAACTACAAACATTTTTGGTCATGCAAGTTCTTTAAAGCAGTGTTTCTCAACCATGTTTCTGGAGGACCACCGGCACTGCATGTTTTGAATGTCTCCTTTGTCTGTCACACCATTACAGGTCTTCTAGTCTTTGCTAATGAGCTGGTGTGCTTGGTTAAGGAGACATGGATTATCTGCAGAGCTGGTGCTCCTCCATTAGCGTGGTTGAGAAACGCTGTTTTAAAATGATGTCTGAATATGCAAATGGGACTGAAATGTAATTTCAGTAAACATGCTCCTATTTTGTAGCAGAAATGTTCGAGCAATGGATGAAGTCAGGTTAAAAAATACTTTTTTATTTTGTCTTATTTTATTACTCAATAATTCAGAAATATCTGTGAACAGCCAGAAAAATAACATTTTCACCATTTTATGCAAATTATGTGGAAATAAATCTCTCTGTAAAAAAAACTTCAGAATATACATATGATTATAACTTGTAAGTCTGGTCTCATCTTAATAAAAAGAAGATGAAACCATGGGTCTTGGTGATTTTAAGAAAATGCAAATGAATGGCTTTGAGATCTTTGTGTCAAAAAAACAAAATGAATACTTGTAGCTTCTAATGATACGTTGAGGTTATGTTCACACTAATATGATTCTGTTTAAAAACGCACGAGGATCAGCTCTTTTAAACATTAAAGATCCGATCCTCCCTATACGTAACCCATACCGCTGAACCACCAGGGGCGCCCATTGCTCTTAAATGTGAATCTGTTCTGCGCTTTCTTTTTATTTAGGCATGAAAACACTTTAAAATAAATATATAAACGGCTGGATTCCCTTCCTTTCCATTACAGGCATCGTTGCCCCTCCTACGCAATCCTTAAAACAGTAAGTTCATGTAGCAGTGCGTGACTGTCAGACGTGCTCCCTAGTGATAAATAGATGCCATTTCCCAAACTTGACTTTGGTCCAAACCAAACTGAAAAGAACCAAAATCCAGTCATTTGACAAAATCCACATCACTCAGTGGATACATGCTGTTTTAATGTCACAGTGTCGAAAATGATGACTCATTTTTAGTCATGTAACTTGTACAGATGAAATGGTGGACGATGTTGTAAAACTGTTGTTTTGAGTGCTCTCTGTTTTAACAACATTGAAGATTAATGTTGCTTTTCTACAAATGACACAAATGTTTAATCTAAGCTGTTTAGTGTCAGAATTAGATGACAGTTGCGTCTCAGCAGGATTCTGTTCTTTAAAGCCAATATTTTAGCACAATTGTTTTGGTACGTCGCCCACTCTGTATTCTTGCTCACTTTTGTAACTTTGTACTCCTGTGTTACTCACAACAACATCTTAATCTTAACATCAGTACTTAAATAAACAAGACAAAAAAGTGTACTTTGTTTCAACATATTGTTTTCATGTTTCAAAGAGCTGGAAAGTAAATAAACGCATTGACACATTCACAGTACAGGGGCGAATGCATTTTCAGTCATTTCAATATGGATGAACTACTTTTTGGGAAGTAATTAAAAAAGGATAGTGTGAACACAGAGCATTTTTAGATAAAAACACTATTTAAACATTTTTAACCATAATCCTTTCTGGATTAGTGTAGACCAGGGGTGTCAAACTGAACTCCTTGAGGGTCACAACCCTGCATAGTTCAGTTCCAGCCCTGCTTCAACACACCTATCTGTAGGTATTAAACAAACCTAAAGCTCTCAATTAGTTTGATCAGGTGTGTCTCATTAGGACTAAAGCTAAACTGTGCAGAGCTGCGGCCCTCCAGGACCTGAGTTTGACACATGGTGTAGACGTTTTAGGTCTTATGAACAGTTTTAGGTCACATGAAGTGAATTAATTGGCATGTGCAAGAAGAAACTAAACATTATTTATAACATTATTACCTTTAATCCACAGCCAGATTAATATCCACAGATATTAATTTTGTAATGCCTGTACTTTATTGATTTTTTTTTTTTAACTCAAAGCCAGCAGTATATTGATGTACTTTCAAATCTCTGAAATGGAATATTGAGTAGGGGCAGGGCTTTCTTTTGCGCATCACTCCCTCATAGCAAATTAACAGTAAGAGAAGCTATTAATAAACAGTTATGGAAGCCCTCAGGTGGACGTCAACAGAAGGACTGCCACTCCAGATGCAGAAGCAGATGGTCAGACTTTGAATAATTTTTTTTTTTTTTGTCAGTGGATTAACTAGCACGGATTATTTATTCACGTCAAGCATAACAATGTGTGCTAGCAAAATAAACATTGCAAATTTGAATTCAAGCGGACTTTAAAGTCGCAGTAGCTGTTTACTTGCATTTTATGAATTAATAAAGACCAAATTCAGCTAAAAATCTTCTGTTAAAAACAGTCGAGACTGAGCAAATTAACAGCAAGCATACTTTTTTGTTGAACTATTCCTTTAAGAAACCACTGTGTTTTCCTAAAGTAATTGTTGTTCTGGTTAATGAGGTGTGGAAATGGCAAAACACTGTATTTTTTTGTTAATGAAGTATTGAGTACTCTTGCAATTCTTGCACTTCTTTCATCCTTAACTTAATGCTATTGTTTTAGGATGAGGATTAACAGATTTTGGCTCTTTTTCTGTTGTTTAAAGGCAACTTGTTTTGGACGGGCAGTGGGAGGAAGTTTTACAGTTCATCCAGCCTTTGGAGGGTCTGGATAAATTTGACAGAAAGAGGTGAGCGGTGTTGATTTTTGTGCCTTTAGTCAGTGTTCAGCGCTATATTGCGTGTTTCATACTAGTAACATGCTTTATTTTTTTCAGGTTTCGATATATCATCCTAAAACAGAAGTTTTTGGAAGCTCTGTGTGTTAACAATGCCATATCTGCATCAGATGACCCTGAAAATGTGAGTTTGTGTACAAAATTATTACATTGATTATTCTTTAAAACAAAAACAAACAAAAAAAAACACCAATTTTGCTTTTCTTATGCAAAAAAGAGTAAATTATTTCTATATTGTTATAGTTAAACAAATATAAAATGTTTAAAAATATTTATATTATATAAAAATATTTATATAATAATAATAATAATAAATATAATAATTTGTACCATGTAAATATCATACATTGATGAATGGATGGATGATAGATAAATAGATTTAATACTTGCCATTTAATTATTCTCTTATTGTCAACAAAGAGTCTTTTTTATTAGCAATTTAGGTGTTTACTTGTATATTATTATTATTAAAATTAATATTAATAATAATCAGGGCTTTACATTAACACCTGCCAACTTGTAAATACGGGTAGATTTCAGCTCTGGCAGGTAAGACAGCCACTCCCACTTGCCACTTTGGCAGGTTGGAAATAATTTTAAAAATTGTAGTTTTCTTAAAGCAGGGTTCGACAATAAAGATGGCCCAATATGCATGCAAATGTGATCTTAGAATCGAGAAGCAGCACGACTGACACAAATAACTGTGTTCACGTGAGCAAAAGCAGGTGAATACCTTATGAGAGGATGATTACTCGCACGCACAGGTGATGTGATGCGCGTGACTGTTAAAAACAGGGTCCCCGCGGGTCCTTAAAAAGTCTTGAAATGTCTTAAATAAAATTTTTGATTTTTAAGGTCTGAAAATGTCTTGAATTCTGTAATTTTCCATAAAGAGGTCTTAAATTTCATGTGGGATCTTAAATTTCATGTCAGACTCCTCTTATGGTGGCAAATCAATGCCAATATAAATCGAGCGCAACGGTGATGTTTGCGCGCGAGGAAAAGTGAACCTTGAGCAGATTACAGGTCTACGCGCGAGAAAACTACAGCTCGCAAGCGCACAGGGGATCTTCACGCGCGCGCTTAACTGATCCAGCGCGAGAAAACAAGTCCCGCGCACGCACATCATCATCTGTGCGCATGATGTACGCTCTCGCGAGCGAGGTCATGCCTACAGCGCGCGCGCGTTCAGTTCTCTCCGCTCGCTCGCTGGTTCTTCTCTCTGCTCGTGCGAAACATTTAGGATTTTTGTCAGTCCTAGGGCGGGACTTGGTTTACTTGTTATCTCTAACACTATTGGCTACTCTACCTTTCCGGGATTGGACGCAGGTAAGCTAGTTTCCCGGGTAAATAAAAATATATAGGATATCTTATCATAATGTCACAGTGTGAAACTAATAGACTTACTTACTCAGTAATAAGAAGTGACGACTTACTTTCAATAATAAGGTATTTCTTGTAATAATTAATCTCATAATAATGCCTATTTTTACCATCATGACCAAGTCATATAATGACATATCAAAATAATGAGATATATTCTTGTAACAAACTTTATTACTTGGGAGAGAAAGAGAGAGTTATACCATATGTGGCAAAAGATCTCTCCATTAAACAGAAATTGGGGAAAATATACATGGGCTAATAATTCAGGACGAATAATTCAGACTTTAAATGTCTGTTTTGAACCATTTGATGAAGTTTAGCACCTACATTTAAACTGAACTCAAGCCAAACGTGTTAAAATTGATAAAAATCTTTTTTTTTTTTTTAGACTCATTGTCCTTGACTCATTTTCTATGAAGTACAAGTCAGAATAAATTGAATGGACAATAGTATACAAAATAGGCTATACATGCATGCAGTGCATAAAGTACAAAGGTTTATAGTAAATATATCGCCATTAGTCTGTTATTCCACTATACAGTTAAAGTCAGAATTATTAGCCCGCCTGAATTATTAGCCCCCTGTTTATTTTTATCCTAATTTTTATTTAACGGAGAGAAGATTTTTTTCAACACATTTCTAAACATTATAGTTTTAATAACTCATTTCTAATAACTGATTTATTTTATCTTTGCCATGATGACAGTAAATAATATTTGACTAGATATTCTTCAAGACACTTCTATACAGCTTAAAGTGACATTTAAAGGCTTAACTAGGGTAACTAGGCAGGTAATTAGGCAAGTTATTGTATAACGATGGTTTGTTCTGTAGACTTTTGAAAAAAATAAATAGCTTAAAGAGGGTAATAATATAGACCTTAAAATGGGTTTTAAAAAATTAAAAACTGCTTTTATTCTTGCTGAAATAAAACAAGAAAAAAGTGGGCTAATAATTTTGACTTCAACTGCATATGTGACATGATGTGGGCATGTTGTATAGAAAGTGGTATTTGTATGCCTCTGAAGTGGAATAATGTAATGGATACATGCAGTGAGTAAAGCCAAACGAAGATTGTAGAAATTAAATTGTTGCTCAATAGGTGGCGATAAACATCCGTCTGAATGTCTGTCACTGTATTTCTTTATGTTTGATTGGGCTAATCATTTTTGATTGAAGTCTTTATTTTATATGCAGGTTATTCAATCATTAACTTAAAATGAGATTGAAAAAAATATATTATATATATATATATATATATATATATATATATATATATATATTCCACTGATCTATATTACAAACAATGGTAATAATTATAATAATATACAAAGATGCACTGCACATATAGTATGCATTGTATGGAAAGATCTAAAAATCAAATAAACTCTTCTGAAGACAATATTTCCTAAAAAGATCATCCCCAAGTGTCATAATGAGCACTGCTGTTGTGGTTAATAATGAAGTAAAATACAACAAACCAGACAAGTGCTGCACGGGACAAATCAAATGGGTTCAGAAAGTCATGTTACAAGAATGCAAGTCATTATTTTAAAAGATTAATTATTATTCTTTGACTGTTTCTCGAGATTGAATCCTCATAAAGTTCAGAAAGTTCTCAGAAAGTTTCTTATGATTATGACTTGCAAATTGTATATATATTTAACGGCGTGATTTTTAAACTGTGTCCAATCCTGGCTAACTTCCGGAAAGGCAGAGTAGCCGATAGCGTTAGAGATAACAAGTAAACCAAGTCAACCAAGTAATCTAAAAGTCTTAAATTTTCATTTTAGAGGACTTAAAAAAGGTCTTAAATGGTATTAAATTTCCTGTTAAAAATGTGCAGATACCCTGTAAAAAGCGTGCACGCGCGCTACCGTTTACTTGCTCGAAACAACCGTGTGTAGAGGAAGCGCAACTGTTGCGATCAGATCTCTTGAAATAGACTGGACAAAAAGCGATGCTCGTGTAAGCAACAAACCTTTTGTAAGCAGCAGCAGCAGTAGTCACTGCTTTCGTTTGAATTATTCTTAGGCACGTGATCATCCTTTCATTATCTCTCGTGGTATGTTTTCACCTGCTTTTTTTTTGCTTACAGATATTTTGTTAATATAGTTTAATTATCATACTTAGCAAAACCATTGCTTTAATATGAGATTAACTTCCCATTTATGTGTATTAACCTCTGATCTGGGACCTTTAGCCAGGACAGATTACTGTGCATATTTTAGACAGGACAATAGATCTTTTTAAATGTCAATTTAAAAAAAAATCATGCACAGTTAGCAAGCTCATACACAATACACACAGTGAAATAAATGAGGAGGCATGTGGACAACACAACATCTAAATCAAATCATTTTAGCATGTCAAGGTCACATTTATTAATAAAAAATATTTTTTCCAACCAACAAAATTGTGGCTAGTGAAAATGTCAAGTGGCTAGTAATGTTGGAAATCTACTAGCCACAGTGGCTGGTGATCAAAAAAGTTAATGTCAAGCCCTGATAATAATAATCTAAAATACTGATAAATTAAGGTAGAAATAAATTATATTCATTTGAATTTGGCTTCTGAACCATAAATTGGTGAATTGTTCACAAAATTAACCAATCAAAAATATTGGGAAAAATTATTATTAAAAGTTTATTTGCATATTAATTCATATTGCTAAGATGTTTACCATAAAAATACAAAACAAAAAAGTTAATGAACCACTAAGGGTGATGCTTGTATTAAAGATATTAAAGACATTTATTTATTGCTATTATTACCATTATAAATAGCTTTCAGTTCTTGAAAGTAGCATTCTGTGTATAATTCTATAGATAAAGCATAAAAATACCACCACATACTAGGCATGTTACAATAACCTGGGGCAGACGGAATCTGCAGACATTTTTTGCTATTTGTGCTGAGAATTTTGGGAAAAAAGTCTGTGGATTCATGCAGAATTATTTTGGGAGTATCATAACTAAACTTAATAGATGAAATCAACAAATAATACATTTTTTACTTTTATTTAATGTTTACAATGCAAATCCAATTAGATCCACTTAAGTCTGGTTTATACTCGACGCGTCTGCTAGTTCGCTTGAGTGTGCGTTGCAAATGTGATGTAATCGCAAAGTTTGCAGAAGTTTACTTTGGTTGCGCGGGACATGATTTTGGCCAACAGAGCACGTGTTTTTTTTTTTTTTTTTTTTTAACTTGAGCGAACAGTGCACGCGGCGCTGCATTTTATTTGAGTTGAGTATGAATCACTTTTTGGATAGATTTTGTCTGAAACTGTATGACTGTACAGACACCTGTAAGATCCGTGATCATAGGGATAACCAAATGATTAATAATTATTGGCTAGAACTTGTAACAGCATTGGAAAAGAAGGAACATTTTTTTAAAAGGTTTGGAAAAACCTGAGGGATACGTTTGTTAAGGCCAAAAGAGGCCTTGGAAAAAGTGAAGACCCAGATACACAATTACAAAATATGTTATTCCACCAGTCAAAGGTTTTACACTGATGTATATGTTACAATTTTGAATTTAAAACAATTTAATAGTTACAAAACTATAATGAAGTCACAGAATTATTACCTTGATGACTGGAAAGGAATATTTTAAACTATTGGTTTACAATATACTGATGCCTGTTTTTCTAGGCTTTATTGGTGATAATGGTCAGGAATGTTGAATTATTATTGCTTTTTTAGCATAAGTAAAGGACAGAAACTAGCCAGACAGTAATGTGTGAATTGTGGAGCGGGCTAAATCTAAAAAACATCTGTATTTTTAGTAAGTGCTTTTTTTTTTTACTATTATTCTTGCCATAATAAAAAATATATTTGCAGAGCAACCTTGTTCTGTTGTCATTAATATTTTAATGAACTTTATTAATGGGTAGAACTGTCCGAGATATAAACAAAAGCAAGTGATGCATCAAAGTTTGATTAAAAAAAAATCTTGAATGGTTATAAAAATCCTTAATCATTAAAATAATTTAAAAAAATAATAAAAATAATTTGTTTAAAATACTGAATGATATTAATGATATGACGTAGTTCCGGAAACTTTTTACTTCTCTGTTTATTCATCTTATTTTACGGTGGGTTTGTTTTAAAGAATATCACAACGGTGAACGCGGCAAGGAAAAAAGCCTTGTCCGTTTCGCGAGGTAAGCGTGCAGTCAGCGGAGGTGCACAATGCAGAGCCAGGCGATAGTATAAATCCAACTTTATTAGGTATACAAAGCAAGTCTCTCATATATCTACTAATAGACAGAAAATAGTACTTTACAAACTGTATTGTAAACAACTCGTATGAACATTTAAATATTACTATTATTCTATCACAATAATATTAGTAAAGGTAATTTAAAACTGAATAAATAAAAATTTACACACATTTACACTAGTAAATACTCGATGGGCTAAAAAATCTGTGGAAAGCTGCGAAGTTTAAATTATCACTAATCAAGGGTTTAATTGTTTAAATTTTCTCTTATACTGTTCCTCAGGTATATGTAATTTATTTAACTTGTTTTTAAAGACTATTTTATTTAGGTTTTTTTAGATCAACAGTATCTTCATGAGAAAAGCAGCATACGCATTGAAAGTTGCTGGGCAGCACACGATTCAGGAAACATCTGAAATCAAATAGCTTATATACCAAAATCCAGCATAAACAGTTCAGTTTACTTTACAGTACTGCATATGCAATAAAAAGAAAGATATCCAAAGATGCCTTTTCAAGTTGTAAATAAATCTGTGTTTTTGAAACTAATGAAGACAGAAGTCAATCGTTTACTTTAATGTTTAGCCTGATATGTTTACTGTTTCAAACTATTACAAATGTTTAATAGTTAAATAGTTTAGTAGTTTAGTAGTTTAATAGTTTAATAGTTAAATAGGGAACAAAGTTGTTGTTTTCTACCCAGACATTTTAAAAAGAAAATATTTTAGAGCAGCAATCAAAATACACATACTGTACAATGATATTTTAATTCAAGGTTATCACACCGTCATAATCTTACACCAGCCCATGCCTACCACACACTGTTTGATTCCGACTCCAAATGTGCCAGAACGTCTCCTGTATTCAGAAAGCCTTCAATGATGCTCTCTCTGTTTGTGGTCTGCAGCTGGAGCTCACCATGCAGGATGCAGTAAAGTGTCTTCATTCCCTGGAAGAGTTCTGTCCCAGCAAAGAAGACTATAGTAAACTCTGCCTGCTCCTTACGCTTCCTCGCCTCACTAACCATGCTGAGTTCAAGGACTGGAACCCCAGCACGGCACGCGTCCACTGCTTCGAGGAGGCCTGCACCATGGTGGCCGAATTCATCCCTGCCGACCGCAAACTGAGCGAAGCCGGGTTCAAAGCCAGCGGAGACCGACTCTTCCAGTTGCTCATCAAGGGAATACTGTACGAATGCTGCGTGGAGTTCTGCCAGAGCAAAGCCACCGGAGAGGAGATTAGTGAAGAGGAGGTTTTGCTAGCTGTTGATGTTTTGTGTGGAAACGGTTGCGAGGAGTTGGACTTAAGTTTGCTTTCTTGGCTGCAAAACCTGTCGTCGACGGTTTTTGCTTGCGCGTTTGAGCAGAAAACTCTTAACATTCACGTAGATCGGCTTGTAAAACCAGCCCGAACAGGTCATGCGGATTTACTCACACCTCTTTTGACTAAACTTTCACCTTGTCCTGCTTCGCCGCTTAGACGGCCCCATTCAGCGGATACATACATGTCACGATCGTTAAATCCTGCACTGGATGGCTTGTCACATGGCCTTGTAGGAAGAGAAAAGAAAAACACTGAGGGTGATGGAAAGGCGACAGCCATGTCACAGTCTTTTGCCAATTTTGGATATCCTTCTGGGGGAAATGGGAGCAAAAATGGGAGCACAGTCTGTACCGATTCACCAGACAGGTAAGACAAAAATGGGCAAACTTGTTTACTTTTTGTTATGGATGTAACTATTAACCTGACTCATGATTCGATGCGATTCATGATACTAATCTCATAATACAAAATTTAAGGTAAAGAGTAAAAAATGTTATGATTCACCTGTCTCACGATTCAAAACAATTCGCAATACTAATCTTACGATACGATTTAGTCACAATTTTTTTAACAGTATTATTCTAAAAAAATTTAAGGTAAAGAGTAGGGATATAATGATTCACCTGACTCATGATTCGATATGATTCATGATACTAATCTCACGATCTGATTACGTCAGGATTTTTAAACGAAATTATTCACAGCCACGTGACAGAACAATTATAAAAGAAGACGCTTCAATCCTGGTTTGTGGACGTTAAATCAGGTTTATTTTGTACAATGACATAACAGATATCCACACAGCAGTGGAGGTTAGCCTGTATCCTGTCACATTTGAGTGCAAAAACAGTGCAAAGCTAAGTACGCTCTGTCTGTCTGTCTGCCTGTCTGTGTGTGTGTGTATGTGTGTGTGTGTGTGTGTCAGCTGCGGTGTGCGTGTGTATCTGTGTTTGAACTTTGTAACGATATTACGTGTGACTCATCAATGCAACTTCACAACAAATACTGATTAGTATAGTTCTTACTTTAGTATTTCTCACAAACGCTACGTGAGACCTTCTTCCTTTAAGTCTGTCTGTTGTCTGATGCAGCCGAGGGAGGAGATTAAAGCACGCGGGAAGGCACATAGAAACAGTAGGCGAGGAAGACTCATCTTAAAGGCACAGTACGACAAAACCACCCCCTGGTGGAAATATGTATAAAACAGGACCTTGTAAAAGGTATAATGAAAAATCTGATGGGTGTTTTGAGCTGAAACTTTATATACACATTCTAGAGACGCAAAAGACTTATGTTAAATCTGAAAAAAGGGGTAACCTAGGTGCCCTTTAAACAAATTTAGGGTAAAGAGTAAGATGTAATGATTCACTGACTGTCGATTCGATACGATTCTCGAAACTTAACTCACAATAAGTAAGTCTTTCCTAAACCAGAGAGCAGCGTGTACAGAGGAGGTCAATAGGTCCTCTGCTTCAGGGGACTGGCCACTGGCATAAAAAATGTTAGTAGATGTGTAAATGTACAGTAGGACAGAGACAGGAGTTGAGCATAATTACAAAGGTGAATAATTCATTGTACTTGTATAATTAATTAGTATAAGTATCAGTGTGATACACTTAAGAAGAGATAATCTTAAATAATTTTAAATGTTCAATAATAATAAGCAAATTATGAAAATATGCATAAACTAATCTGAAAAGGAGAGGGTAAAAAGAATCTAATACCTACTTCTGTGACAGCACAACTTTCTCTTTCAATCTGAAAAACATCTTTACACTTTTGCTATGAAAACACTGATGCACCATGTGATCTCCGAAGCACTTGTCGGAGCAAGTAAAATCATCTGGTCTACGTGGTTTGGCTTATTAATAGTTTATTTGTGTATAGATATCTGCTGACAGTTAATCTGCATCATTGTTCTATTAGTGTAAGTAAATGTCTTTTTTCAGTATTCCGTACACAGATTGTGCCGCTGTTGTGCAGGTAAATCATCACATATTTGAGTCAATTTTCAACCGGCTCATGATAAATCATTATATCCCTACTTATTTGTCATGTCCTTTTAAACATGAATCACAAAAAGACATTTGGACCCCATTCACTTTTATTGCATAAACAAAAAAACATCATCAGAAAATGTCTTTTTGTGTTAAAAGGACATGAAATTTACTCACCTGCAAGTGGTTTCCAACTTTTGAGTTTCTTTCTTAAAATATTAAAAACATGTAACATTTAACTTCTATAGCAGGAAAAACAAAAACTATGGAAGTCAATAGTTAAGGGTTTCTAACATTTTTCAAAATATCTTCTTTTGTGGATAAAAAAATTTGTGGATGAACTATTCCTTTTAAAAAAAATCTACGATTAAGGTCAGTTGTGTGTACAAAAAAATAACAAAACATATTTCTTTATTAGCGAAATGTACTTTTTTAATAGAAAAAAAAAATTGGTATAATTCAAAATGTCAACCCCGTTGACTTTTACTAATCAAAAAAGGAAGATTTTCTTACTAATATTAAATGTGGAGTACAAAAGAAGATATTGAGTTCAAAATTGGAGCACATTGACTTTCGTTTTATGAAAAAAGTATTCTTCTTTACTAAACAGTTTTCACAATACAGTTGTATAGAAAAGCAAATTCAAAATTCAAATTAACCTTTTCTAAACCTTTTTTAAACAATGAAAATGAATGTTTTAAAAGTCAAAACCTATAGAATTCCATTGTCTTAATGAAAAAGCACTTTAAAATAACACTTTCTGTGGTGTACAAAAAATAGATTCAAAATTTAGACAGAACAATATATCTAAGTTTAAGTTTATAAAAGGTTTGCTTTAGAAAACATTATACAATGATTTTTAATACCAAATTTGATGAAAAAAATATTCTTTGCAAACTTTGATGTCTTTCTGTGCAGTGTAACAAATGTCTTTGAGGGCTTTCTGTGTCTGTTTTTAAAACAATTGACAGTTAAAAAAATCCAAAACATTGACCCCATTCATTTTTTGTATAGGCAGAAACTCTTCTTCGAAATGTTGTCTTATGTTTCACAGTTGTAAGAGACTGATAAACATAAGCTCTGCTTCTCTAGTCAGAGGTGTTACTGTGAAGCAGTGAAATTCAGCATATGGTGATTAAGCTTAACACTTCTAATCCTGTTAGATACACAGAAATAAACCACGATGGGCTAGTCAAGTACAAAAACAACTTCATTTCCAGTAACTAATACCTTACAGATTTAACACTTTTTTTTTTTTTTGTTAAATTGTAGATTAAAAGTGGCATCAGAAATTGCTTATGTTGGTGTTGCAATTTTTCAAAAGATAGAGATAATAAAATAGATTTTGTAAATAAATGTACACTACGATTCAGAAGGTTTTAGGTTGCAAAAATTGTATCAAAATTTGCTGTAAAGACTTTTTTTGTAGTGTTAAAAAAAGCTTGGATAGTCTTAATACTACTACTAGTACTACTACAACTACTACTACTACTAAAAATAATAATAATATGTATTATTATTATTACTTTTAATATTAATAACAACAACATGTATTATTATTATTATTATTATTATTATTATTATTATTAATAATAATACTTAAAAAAAATTGTGATTAAAATATTTTTGAGCAACCACTTAGCTTATTACGATGATTTATAATCTAATTCTAATCTTGACGCTGTGTTACTGAGACTGCAGTAATAATACTGTAAATCCAGCTTTGCATCTCAGTAATTAGTTGCCAAAATCCCTTAGATTTTTTTTTTTTTTTTTGGTTTTTAGCTAAAACTGATGATAAAAATGATTGTTTTAAATGCTCAAGTCCATGCAGTTACTTTTAGAAGTACATTTTCTGTTATTATTTAATACATAGTTAATTACCAGCTTATATATAAATACATTGAATATCTGTGCATCCATACTGTATAAAGGTGTTATTATGGCAATTATTTTTGTCTGCCATTTTCGTTTATCTCCAGAGCACAGGCTGAGACAATCAACAGCCCTGGTGGAACAAACTCGATACGTCCTCCACTCACTCCTGGCAAAGATGGAGGAGTCACAGCTACAGCTGACAAATCTGAGGTAACATAATTAGCTCCCATTTAGACCAGAAACATCAAGACCCTATTTACACCCATCAAAAGGGATAATTCACCAAAAGATTTACATTTCTTTCCTATTGACAAAAATTGAAAGTGATTTAATTGCATGATAATGAAATCAAGTTAACGTTCTGTGACATTAAAAGATATTTGTATAGCTAATGAGCTCGCTATTAAGAAAACCTCAGATTTGAACAAATATGATATGTTTCAATAATTGATGTACTGCACTGTACTGCACTGTACACTGTACTGCACTTATATGTAAAAAACAAATGAAACCAAAAACAAAAAAAACATCAACATTTGAATTAAAATGTGCTTTTAATAGTAAAATGGTAGGTTACTGTTTATAAAAAGTAAAAAGAAAACTCCTGTACTTAAGTTAAAAGTATTAACATATAGTAGCCAACTCATCAACACCTGGAAATGTTGCCTGGACCTCATAAATATAGGCTATATATCAACATAAACATATATAAATAATTTTTAATGCATTTTGAAATATATGTAGCATGTACATATGTCATATTTGATTCCTTTGCGTATCACTAGAAGGAAGTATGTGTACCACTAGTACCACAGTTTGAGAACCACTGCCCTAGACGATCTTAATCCAGCATTTCCACGATTCAGCCAATCATTTTTAAGTTCAGGAGAGAAGCAAAGGCGGCTGCACAAGTCTTTTCATTGTTTCACATACATTGCTCAGCAACATGGACACCTCCAAATGATGTTGAAAGAGTCACACACTGTATTTATTAGATATAATCTTTTATATAATGTTGTATTCACGGCCGGAAAATCACACGTGGCATGAGCTGCTGACAATGAGCTGTTACCACAGAGATGATAGACGCGCGTGTCTACTTTAGTGAACAGAACCTGCATAGGCTGTAAATAAAAGGTAATAAAGTTGGAAATAACATTCAGTTTGTGGCACAGAGCGGTCGTTTGGGAGCTGCGCGGGAATTAGGAACAGCACTTAGCAGTGAAAATGAAACCAAAAGCGTGCACATCATTTAAATATTCATTTTGCATTTAGAGTTATGATTGTGACAAGCATTTGATCTGTTTTTTTTTTTTTGTTTCATAGCAAACACAGAGTGTTGTGCATGAGAATGAAGATTTAACAGTGCCAGTATAACTACTGTAGTCTATATAATGTTAAATATATTGTAAGAGGGAATCTGATAATGACATATGTCTGATTTTACCAGTAAATAAATGGTCTAATAATGTTGACAATGACAGATTGCAAGCATATGTCTCAAACATAATTCAACATCAGAATTATTATAGATGGAATATAATTATTTATAGAAACCAGTGGACCTACACATAATATTATTATTGTCGTTTTACCATATGTTTGAGAAAAAACAATAATAATACATCTACAGAATCGTGAGAAAATCGTGATCTTTATTTTCAGTAAAAAAATCTGGATTCTCATTTTAGCCAGAATCGTGCAGCTCTATTAGTCATATTCTCAGACAGCGTTTTTTATCTGGAGAGACTTTAAAGGGAGTAAATGTGAGTCCTTATGAAGCCTGGTTTATACTCAACGCGTGACGTCTTTGCGGAGTTTGCGGATGTTTGCTTCGGGTGCGTGCGACATGATTTCGGCTGACGGTGCGCATGCCATTTTTTGAGACTCTTGCAAACAGTGCACGTGGTGCTGTATTTGATTTGAGTTGAACACGAAACACTCTGAAGTGATTTTGTCTGAAACAGGTACGCCAGTACAGACATCTTTATGATCCATGATCTTAGAGCTAACCAGATGATCAGTAATTTCTGGCTAGAAATGTAAAGGAGGAAGTTTTTGTTAAAAGGTTTGGAAAAACCTGAAGGATACCTTTGTTAAAACTAAAAGAGGCCATGGAAAAAGTGAAGACCCGAGTACACAATTACAGAATATGTTTTTCCTCCAGTCACAGGTTTTACACTGATGTAGCACAATTTTAAATTCAAAACAATTTAATAGTTGCAAAACTAAAATTAAGGAATAATTTCTTTGATAACTGAAAAAGGAATATTTGAACCTGTCCGTTTACAAGATGCTGATGCCTGTTTTTCTAGGCTTTATTGGTGATAATGGACAGGAATGTCCAAGGCAATTTGGTTGCAGCATACAAGCATGTCACACATAATACACAAAAGCACATTATACAATACAAATTCTATACGTATCTGTATATCTGTATCAAGTACCGAACAACTTTCGGAAGAGACGTTAAACCGAGGTCCTGACTCTCTGTGGTCGTTGAAAATCCCAGGATGTCCTTCTAAAAAGAGTAGGGGTTTAACCCCGGCATCCTGGCCAAATCTGCCCACTGGCCTCTGTCCATCATGGCCTCCTAACCATCCCCATATTCCAATTGGCTTCATCACTCTGTCTCCTCTCCACCAATCAGCTGGTGTGTGGTGTGCGGTCTGGCGCAAAATGGCTGCCGTCGCATCATCCAGGTGGATGCTGCACACTGGTGGTGGATGAGGAGATCCCCCCCACCCCCACCCCCATTGTGTAAAGCGCTTTGAGTGCCCAGAAAAGTGCTATATAAATGTAAGTATTTATTATTATTATTATTATTATTGTTGTTGTTATTATTATTATTATTATTATTATTATTATCATTACCAGAAGGGAGAAGATAAAACTCGTGGTGTATAGGATGGGAATCATCTGACAGAATACTCTGAGCTTTACTCAAAACTTGTCTATGGTAAACATGAGCCATGGTCATCTGTTTTCTCCCTGTTCTTTTTCCTCCTAGGTTCACAGCTTTCTCCAAATAACTATTATTTTTCACTTCTAGAGAATTAAACAAACAAAGCAAGGAAAAGGATAACAGTGACTGAATTAGGATTGGACCGATAGGCGATGCCATCGACCATCGCCGAAACACGATGCTGAGCCGGCATCGCCGATCCTCTGCACCGCTGCAGTCTCAAACCTGCTTGCAAAAATACACACTTAGGGCGCGTTTATACTAATACGTCTTAGTGTTAAAATGGCATTTTAGCACGAAAATGATCCACATCCACACCCTTTTTTACCTAGCATTTCTGAACAGCCCTCCGTCCACTAAAAACGCACATCAAGTGATCATACACACACATAGACAAAGCCACACACTGACACACGCGGTCATGCGGTCCTCTGAGCCCTAAAGAGCAGTGCACGTCTGACAGTTTATTAAGGACGTACCGCAGGATCAAGTCTCACTAAAGTTGTTAAACATAATATTCAGACATCCCAAGTCTCCCGGAAGTTCTGGAAGTCTTTATGCATTTGCGGGACTCATAATGCCCGCAAACAAGTGATAATCACCCGGAAATCGCGCGTCTCCCTCCCGGTCCTCAAATAAGTCGCGCACCCTTCCTACCCCCGGAATCCCTTCTGGCTCTTCAGACACGTCGCGCGCACTCTGTCAAACACCCCCACTTTCCACATGATGACGATGTCATTGTCCATCGCAATGTTTCACATTAGCCATCGTACGATGCCAAATTGGTCGACATCGCCCAACCCTAGACTGAATGTATGAACTGTAAAACATGCACATGAGTGATTTATCTATACTAAAAGATCTTAATTTTTGTAAACAGTTTTAATCTTTTTTGCCCCTTTTTACACAAAATATCAATTACGTTGGACAATTATTGTCTTTTTAGCATAAGTATGGGACAGAAACTAGTTAGACAGTAATGTGTGAATTGTGGAGCGGCTAAATCTAAAAAAAACATCTGTAATATTTAGTAAGTGTACTTTATATATATATATATATATATATATATATATATATATATATATATATATATATATATATATATATATATATATATATATATATATATATATATACATTATACATATATTTATAAAAAAATTATTAAAAGTTATTAAAAAAGTATAACTTGTGTGTATGTGTATATATATATATATATATATATATATATATATATATATATATATATATATATATATATATATATATATATATATATATATACATACACAAGTTATACTTTTTTAATACAGTTTTTGCCATGATATAGCCAGAGCAACTGATATGGCAATAAACTCAAAACAACTACTCCTCTTTCTGGTAGTTGCATATACTATGCAAAAGGTTGTTAAAATGACCTGTATTCAGGTTTACAGGGACCAAATGTTTGCATGTATTCATTAGTTAACTAGCCTTGTTTATTGTTGTGGTGTTATATTTTAGGAGCAGCTGCAGGAGTTCCAGCGTCAGCGGCTGCGGGTTCAGCAGCATCTGGAGCAGAAGCAGCAGCAGAGGCAGCTTTATCATCAGATGCTGCTGGAGGGAGGAGTTCATCCTCCAGATCAGCCCACAGACACAGCGCAGCACAACCTCACGCAGAAGTTCCTCAACAGGTCAGGCTCTTGTTGACTTTATCTCTGGCTTCTAAAGGTTAGTTATGATGAGGTTATACTGTAGGTTAATGGAACTAGCTTACTAGAGACAAGTTATATATAAGTTTATATATATAAGTTATATATATATAAGTTTCACAAACTAATTTCGAGAGGAGCATATGATATGATTGATTGCCGCTGGTCTTGCCTCTGTAATCATCAGAACGCCAATCGCATCATTCCAAACTCACTATAAATAGCCTGACCATCATTTACTCCCTCATCTTTGTTTTTTGAATAATCTCCCCATTCACTCCATCTATTCCCCCATTTCGAGAACTACCTGATCTTGTACCCTGTAAACCTGCTATTATTATTAAGCAGTATCTAAGTGTGAACACTTGAAATGTATTTTGGCATGCCATTATTTTCAAGAAGTGATCTGTATGGACTATTTCAATGTGGTTGTGTCGTTGAACAATTCCTGCTTGTTATTAAAATAATTAATTGCTGTAACAAAGCAATTCAATCAACTTCATGTTAAAACACCTGCCAAAGCATTATTTATACATATGTGGCTGTTTTTGTTTCTCGGAAGCTATAAAAATCAAAATGTAAAACGGAAAACACGATGGGACTTGGGACCATTGTTTTTGTTTAGATCCTTCAAAATGGTTTATAACAAATGTGTCAAACTCAGATCCTGGAGAGCCGCAGCTCTGCAGTTTAGTTCCAACCCTAATTAAACACACCTAATCAAGCTAATTGAGTCCTTCAGGCTTTTATGAGAACTACAGGTAAGCGTATCGAAGCAGGGTTGGAACAAAAAAAAATAGGAAAGGGTTATTTGACACATCAGACTGATTGGGAATTTCACAAGAAAAACAATTGTGTGCTTGGTTTTAACGTTTGCAAGATGTTTTATCAGTGCAAGTTTTTCCAGCAAGATTGTGCACCACCACATTATGGGTGTCAGGTCCGCGCATTCCTAGATGAACAGTTTCCTGAAAAGTGGATTGGACGTTGTGGGCCAGTAGAATGGCCCCCAAGGTCTCCTGATCTGACCCCCTTAGACTTTTATCTTTGGGGTCATCTGAATGTAATTGTCTGTGGTATGAAGATACAAGATGTGCACCTGAAACTACGGATACTGGAAGACTGTGCTAGCATTTTTCCTGCGGTGTTGCTATCAGTGTGTAAAGAGTGGGAGAAGAGGGTTGCATTGACAATACAACACAATGGGCAGCACATTGAACACATTTTATAAATGGTCAGAAACTTGTAAATACTCATGAAAGAATAAAGTTACGTTGAAACCAGGCACACCATTGTTTTTCTTGTGAAATTCCCTATAGGTTTGTTGTCAAATGACCCCCTTCCCTTTGAAAAAAAAAAAAAAAAAAAAAAAAATTGGACTACAAAATGGCCACCTTGGTCACCACCCATCTTAAAAATTTTCATATATCAATCACATATACTAATGTATCTTCAACCATTCCCATTTTATTAAGGTGTATCCATATAAAGGGCCCACCCTATAAATATATTTATTGTTTATGTACTTGTGTAAATGTGTGTAAATTTATATTTACTCAGTTTTGAAATAATTTTCATTATAATTATTGGCTAATATGAAAATGTTCATGTAATTTATTTACAATACAGTTTGTAAAATAATATTTTCTGTCCTTTAGTATATATATATTAAATGAGATACATACTTTGTTTACCAAATATTACCAAATAAAGTGGATCTAATTGAATTTGCATTGTAAACATTAAATACAAGTTGAAAAGGTATTACTTTTTTAGTTCATCTATTAAGGTTTTAGTTATTATACTCCCAAAATCATTCTACATAAATCCACAGATCTTTAATAAAATTCTGTGCAGAAATAGCAAAAGATGTCAGCAGATTCTTTCTGGACCTAGTAATGGGTAAAACAAAGACCATGCGGGTCAGATAGTTAATTAATTCACCACTGCCTACGACCATGCCATCGTCCATTGCGATGTTTCACATTAGATATCGTACGGTGCCAAATTGGTCGACATCACCGAACCCTAATATATCTGAAATATTGCACACAAAAAAAACCCAACAACAACAACAACACATTTTTATACATTTTTTTGATTCTCATGATTTTTCAGTTTTTTAATTTTTATTTTAGATTTTTCTGTAACATAAATTTGGATACAAATTTTTGTATCGTTAATGTAAGGTACTATGTTAGATTAGCTTTAGCAATGACTAATCTATATTATTATTAATATTGTAAAGCTTCCTATAGAAAAAATTAATTTAAACTAGAGATTCGTAATTTGTGTAATATATATTTGTTATATATACATAGACTAAATATGTAAATTTTGGTATTTTAATTCAAATAATAAAATAATGATATTTATTGTTACATGCTATAAACATTTGTTTATTTGTTGCTTTTGTAACCTATTAATCAGATTTTTTGCCAAATTTATGATTTACCAGAAATAAATGTATATTTTTATGTTCATTGCTTTTAATGATTAATGTATTTTTTATGTAATAATTCATATATTATATTATATTATATTATATTATATTATATTATATTATATTATATTATATTATATTATATTATATCACTACTGCACACCATCAATATGTAGCATGCACTGCACTTTAACCAATCCATACTTAAAACAATACTGTCTACAGCTATGGCTACACCTATTCATTGTACACATCACTGTCAACACTGCCAATTTTACATTGTCCTTTATTTTGGGAGTATGCTGTTGTATTTTGCACTGTCTGTATTTGCATTGTCGTTGTATTTTGCACTGTCTGTATTTTGCATTGTCGTTGTATTTGCATTGTCTGTATTTTGCACTGTCTGGAGCCAGCATCTAAGCTTTTCACTCATCATAGCACACGTGCCGCTGATGATGTGACAATAAAAGTGATTTGATTTGATTTATAATAGAAAAAATGGCTGCTTGTGTAAGTGTATTTATGTTTTTATTATATTGTTTTTCTTTTTTCTTTATTTAATTATTTTTCAATTTTCGAAAGTTCTTAGTACGCCAGTTTTTTCCACATCCAAGTTTTCCAGTTGTCAATCTTAGCCAATCATATTTGTTTATTTTGGGTGAACTTTGAATTTTCGTGACCAGCGCAGAGCCATGGGGGTCAAGAGAGGCAGGTCGTCCTCTCCCAGATGTCATATATCTTCCACTACACTGTTGTCCAGATATCCACAGGCCTCAGTGTTTTCTCTATCATTCGTGTAGGTCCATTCAGAAACTGGAGGAGCTGAATGTGGGAATGGAGGATTTGGGTGAAGACGTTCAGGCTTTGGCTCAGCAGTGTAACGGCACGTCAGCGAGTGAAAGCAGTAAACAGACCCCAGAGACCGGCCCGGGACGAATAAAGACGGCGGTGATCAGCAGCACCCCTCATAAAGGAGGAGTACGAGGGATTCCATCTCTGGATGAGTCCCCAGTGCTGGTCAACCAGAGGTTTCCAAACATTTTGACACTTGTTTTTTTTTTTAAATGAACGCAGTTTGAGGCCTTAATCTAAATGATATTTTATGACAGTGTGTTCCAGGATGAGAAGCCCAAATCCCCTTTCATAGCAGTGCAGACTCTGGAGGACACGCAGGCGGTGCGTGCTGTCGCCTTCCACCCATCTGGGATGCTCTATGCTATTGGTTCCAACTCCAAAACACTGCGCGTCTGTACTTACCCACAGTCCCTCAAAACCAGGTTGGTTCTCAGTAAGGATGAGCATTTAAATTTGACTTTTAACTAAAGAAGATAACAAGACACAAAAATGTCGTTCTGCCTCTGTATGTTCATCCTATATAGCCCACAAGCTCCAGTAAAACAGCCTGACATCTGCTTCAAGCGTATTAAACACCATAAGGGCTCTATATATTGTGTGGCCTGGAGCCCCTGTGGGCAGCTGCTTGCCACAGGCTCCAATGACAAGTATGTCAAAGTTCTTCCTTTCAACGCTGACACCTGCAATGCCACAGGTAATTTGTGTGTGTGTGTGTGTGTGTGTGTGTGTGTGTGTGTGTGTGTTAATCTAATCTTATTTGAAATATATCCTTTAATCTGTTTATTTATGGTTGTTGAAGGGTTAATGTGGTTGTGTGTGCATGTGTGTGTTTGTTTGGATTGCAGGACCAGATCTAGAGTTCAGTATGCATGACGGCACCATCAGAGATCTGGCGTTCATGGAGGGTCCCGAGAGCGGAGGTGCCATCCTGATCAGCGCTGGAGCTGGAGATTGCAACATCTACACTACGGACTGCCAGAGAGGACAGGGACTGCATGCGCTGAGTGGACACACAGGTGAACTCATGCATACTGACCTTTTGTGTATTTGACTTGGCAGTTGATACACAGAGGCACTGCTGTATGTAAAAAAAATATACAAAGCGTAGCATTTGTAAGGCACCCTTCATAAGTCTCTCATTTAATTTAATATTTGCTATAGGATGCTTTACAATATTTTTTAGTGCATATACATTAGATTATTCAGTATTGAAGCCAAATCTGGAGCTTATCTAACAAAAATAGCGATGAAAGTCCAATAACTAGAAGACTGATTTTACATGTTAGGGAAAATTATTAAATTAATTTGAAAAAGAGCAAAAATCAAGAAAAACAAAATATTATTACATATAATTCTGTTGACTAATCAGAGAAGAGAACAGCCATCTGACCAATCAGAGCAGTCATCTGTCCAATCAGTGAAGAGTAAAGTCATCTGACCGAGTAGAGTCATTTGACCAGTCAGAGAATAGGTGCGTTCGACATGAAGCTCAGCTGCAGCCGGTGATCAACGAGATTAGCCGAGCGCAGGCGGGGCGGAGTTGATAACAGAGCCGTCAAGACGGACAGCTGGACACTTCGGGACTCAAAGTTGCTGCAGTCATGATGACCGATTACATGGCGTCATCATATTTTTTTGTTATTTTTATTTATAACAGCAAAACATTTACAAATAAAACAGAATACAGTTTCTACAAACTGTAATTCCTTTTTAAACAATAAGAGAGAATTATGAATAAAATATATAACAAATGCATGAGAGAAATAAGAGGAAATGAGAGGTTAATATAAACATAAAAACGAACAGGTCTATTAAATACAAAGCAATAAGCATAAATTCTAGGAGTTAAACATCAATCTTTAGGCTAATACTTCTTGTTTAAATATGCTAAAAAAGGGTTTACATATATGTACATTTATAGATATAAAAATTTCCAATGTAAAAAGCAAAACAAGGTGTTTTGATTAGGTCTTAATAAATGACATTATTTTGGATAATGAATGAATTTTCAAAAAAGCATTTTAATCCAAAAAGATTGTGTTGAAAAGAACAAAAGGTAAAATAAGTGAGCTATGTAGAAGTTTTCTAGAAAGAGCAGGTAGTCTATAAACTGCTAGACAGGAAATAAAATAGATATTTATATTATAATAATAAAACCATTTTATAATTATTAAATAAAATAGTTCATGGAGATGAATGCAGTAAATAGTCTGTATAAAAAAAAAGTTAAAAATAAACCTGCACAAACAAGCTAACCTTTATAACCAGATTATTTAACAAAAGATGATTACTGCAGTAAAATATTTGTAGTCTTTTAATAAGCAAGATGTGTACAGGATAGAGAGGGTGTAAAAAGTGAATTGTTTGTTTTGAAACTTTTAAATCGGAATTTGTCCAATTATAAACCCGAAATACACGTGTTTGTTGTCATGTGGTGAACTCGGCCAATCGTGTAATATCGGTGTCGTCATCAAAGCTCCTGCAGTCGCTCTTCAGAAGCTGCACGGTCTGAGTTTGCCGTCTGATCTCGGAGCGCTGTCGCGGTACTTTGATGCCACATGTGACAGTCACGTGGCGTCGGCGCAGCATCAATCCGGACAAGATTTCTAACCAGAATGCACCGCTTTAAGACAGATTTCGATCGATCTGCGCAGCGCTGCATGAAGTCGAACGCACCTATTAGTAGAGCCATCTGATCTATCATAGAAGACATCTGACCAATCAGAGCAGTCCCCTGGCCAATGAGAGAAAAGAAAAGTCAACTAGACAATCAGAGAAGAGAAGAGTCACCTGACCAATCAGTAAAGAGTAGAATCATTTGACCAATCAGTGAAGAGTAGATTCATCTGACCAATCAGAGCAGAGTAAAGTCATGACCAGACAGAGCAGAGCAGTCATCTGACCAATCAGTGAACAGTTTAGCCATCTGACCAATCAGAGAAGAGTCATCTGACCAATCAGAGAAGAGTAGTTTTTTTTTCTAAAGGCAGAGTTTCTAGAGACCTAATTTTTTGGAAAAGCAGAAATGTCAGAGGGCAATAATGTACCTTGAAGATAGAATGTTATTATCAGGATGTCATATTGTGCTTTGTAAACTGTTTTAGGGCACATTTTGTCTCTGTACACGTGGGGAGGGTGGATGATTGCATCTGGCTCTCAGGATAAGACGGTGAGATTCTGGGATCTGCGTGTGCCCAGCTGTGTGAAGGTGGTTGGGACGACTTTGCATGGGACAGGTGAGTGTGTTTTTGTTCAGTTCCTTTACAAGCGTTTGTTAGAACATCTTCCTTGAAGACAAATGTTTTATCATTAACTTTCCTACAGTTTGTTTTCTATGGGAGAAACTCCACTAAAAATGATTCAAACCAAACTCAGTCATTTGCTTATGAATCATTAAGAGCTCTGTTTAATCAATTCAACCACATAATTTAAAAGAACTGATAAAACTAAAAGAGCAGTATTATTAAGTCAGTTCCTTTGAATTGGGTTTGGAATTCAGAATTCTGTTTAATAATAATAAATATTAAAATAGTAATTAACACTATTAATAATAATATTAAACATTTAGTTTATATAAATACAATATTACAATTTAAAACCAGTGGAAACAACCAAAACAGTCAAATAATTAAGTGTTAAGTAAAAATAAAATTAAAAATTATTTAATGCTGTGTGTTTTCAGGCAGTGCGGTGGCATCAGTGGCCATAGACCCGAGCGGACGGCTCATGGCCACCGGACTGGAGGACTGTCGCTGTATGCTTTATGACATCAGAGGAGGCCGAAGTGTCCAGGTGTATCGTCCTCACAGCAGTGATGTCCGATCGGTTCGCTTCTCTCCTGGAGCTCATTATCTGCTCACCGGTTCCTACGACAGCAGAGTCATGATCTCTGACCTGCAGGGTAAATCAACATGCAACTTCAATAACTATCAATACTGAAATATATCAAATGACACTATCATTTACAGTACTGGGCCGTTTAAAACAGTTATGTTATAGTGTTACATAGAGTTGTTGTAAAAAACGAGAAATTGATTCTGCGTCAATTCTGCATATATAATTATTATTTATTTCTTTTTATAATTTTTTTTTTATTTATCGCTATATATTCTCAATAATGAATCTGAGATTTGGTTTCAACAGCAGGTTGTGCTCTATGCTCTACAAACAGCTTTGTACTGCTTGCATCCAATTCCTTAAAAATACCACTTAAACCTAAAATAATCATTAATAATTTTGAAAAGTTCACAGTGAGCTGTTTACATAATCTTGTGACCTAGTCAATTTGCATGACTCAGCAGATCTTGCAAGTGAACTTTTTCGTAAATATTTGAGTGTAGGCTATGGTTAAAAGCTTGCCTAGAATACTTAAAAAAGAATACTTTTAAAAAAACTGGTCTAAATCATCAGGGCCCTGGTGTTAAAACTTAAAAGCTTAGAACACCAATCTGCTGTTTTAAAACTAGCCTAGATTGCCATCTGCTGTCAGCCTAGAGCACTGTTACACCCCATTCACACAGGGCGTCAACTTCACTGCTTCCCATTTACTTTGAATAGGTGATTTCAGGCATTGCAGAACTGCTTTGTGGATATGTCAGCGAGGCTTCAGTGGCATTGCTCGCTGCAGAAGTTGGGACTTGCTCAACTTTTCAAGAGCTGACAGAAGCGATCAGTGATCAGATCGCTGTATGCAAATACACCAGCTCAGACAGTGGCCTATTGCTGACTAATTTCATTGGCTAACGCTGCTATGACAATTGCGTCAGACTCAACTTCAGACACGCCCTCTGTCAAGCGTTGACACTGAAGCCCCTTGTGAATGGGGCGTTAAAACTAGCCTAGAGTGCTGTCAGCTGTTAAGATTTAGCTTAGAGCATGTCTGATATGTTAAAACTAGCCTAGACCATCATCTGCTGTTAAAACTGGTGTCATCTGGTTTTAAAACCTAGCCTAGAGTGCCGTTTGCTCTTAAAAACTAGCCTAGATAGCACTGTCTGTTGTTAAATTAGCCTAGGTCAATGTCTTCTTGGTAAAAAAAAATGTGCCTAGAGTGCCATCTGCTGTTAAAACTAGCCTAAAGTGCCATCTGTTGTTAAAAACTAACTAGCGCTGTCTGTTGTTTAAAACTAGACTAGAGCATCAACTGTTTTTAAAAACTAGCCTAGAGCACCGTCTGCTGTTTAAAACTAGCCTATGTGCCATCTGCTGTTAAAACTAGTCTAGAGTGCCATCTGCTTTAAAAAAAAAACAGTCTCGAGTGCTAATAAAAATAGCCTAGAGGAGAGGGGTCTGGTTGCAGACTCGGTGCAGTGCAATCTGAGCTGCATCCAATGCTTTTTAATCCGCTCACCTAACCCCACCCCTAACCCTACCCTACCTAGAGCATCATCTGCTATCAAAACCTAGTCTAGAATGCTGATAAAACTAGCCCAGAGAACCATCTGCTGTTTTAAAACTAGCCAGAGTGCCATCTGCTGTTAAAAACTAGCCTAGAGAATCATCTGCTGTTAAAAAACTAGTCTAGAGAATCATCTGCTTTTAAAAACTAGTCTAAAGTGCTGATAAAACTAGCCCAGAGAACTGTCTGCTGTTTTAAAACAAGACTAGAGTGCCGTCTGCTTTTAAAAACTAGCCTAGAGCATCATCTGCTGTTAGAAACTAGCCTAGACTGCTATCTGCTGTTAAAAAATAGCCTATAGCATCACCTGTTGTTAAAAACTAGGCCAGAGAACATTTTAAAACTAGACTAAAGTGCTGTCTGCTCTTTCAAACTAACCTAGAGTATAATTTATCTGAGAGCGATGATAACATTAGCCTGGAGTGCTTTCTGCTGTTTTAAAAGTAGCCTAGAGTGTTGTAAAATACTTTTGTAAATATTTAATAATAATTTAAATTATTATTATTATTATTACAATGAATTCCAACCGTTCACCTGCCACATTACTAAAGTATAATTGGCTTGTGAATGGCATTTTATGTCATTAAATGGTGTTTATATACATTTATTTACATTTTTATATTAAAATTATAATTATTGTTTATTTTAAAAAATCTAATAGTAATATTAATTACTTAATAATTGTATTATTATCATTATTATTATTATTATTATTATTATTATTATTATTATTATTATTATTATTATTACTGATACTAAACAAACACTTTTTATGCATCGTTGTGGAATTAATAAGGTTTTTTTTTCTTCCCACTGCTGTCCTGCAGGAGATCTAACTAAGAATCTGCCAGTGACTGTTGTGGCTGAACATGCGGACAAAGTCATCCAGTGCCGCTGGCATACGAGAGACCTGTCATTTCTGTCCTCCTCAGCTGACAAAACAGTCACACTGTGGGCCCATCAGACCTGATTCAGCACACACAGACACACACATTGTCTGTCACATCCATGTCTAGAGACTGCATGAAGGACCAACCGCTTCTGTATGGAGAAAAAAAGAACAAACCCATGACACTTTCTCACTCACAAACACAAACAAAGCCACACGTAGCAACGCCGCTTCTGTATTTTGCATATGCGATTTTGAGTGAACGAAACCGTCCTGAAAATGTGAGCTGGATTGTGCCTTGAGTTCATATTTTCTTCATTTGATTGAACGTTTTATAAACATCAGCTTTTGTATAGGCTTCAGTGCTAATGCTAATCGTAGCATAACAGACATTGTGTAGCACATTGCACTATGGATATCATAGAACTTTGTTTATGCAGCATGAATATTTATCTATTTAAATAGATGTAAATAAACACTCATAATGTAAATGCTGAGGATCAGTGTTGTGTGAAGGTTGTCCTCAGTGTTGTTGGAGTGCTTCATGCATTTATCCGAATGCTTTTACTGTAATTTGGATGGCCATTTTGTTGATATGCATAATATGCATCACTCTTGCACATGAATTCAGCACCTTTATTTTGTATTGATGATTGACAATTAAAAGACTCTCTCTCTCTCTCTCTAAATCACCAGTTGTATAAAGTATGTATTAGTAATTTATTTGACATGGAAATAAACAAGTTTTCAAACTACTCGCTGATTTTTCTTTCAGCAGTGAATATTTAACAAAAGCAGCATGTTTTATCCTCAAATTAATATGAGATGCTCCCTTACGGTATGTACAGTTACAAAATACATAAAATATAAATGTAAAATTTTTTAATAGATTTTATTGATACATTTTGAATATGAATTTTTTTTCTTTTAATTTTAACGAAGGAAATAAAATAAACACCAATAAAAACAATTATATTTTTAAAATTTATATATATATATATATATATATATATATATATATATATATATATATATATATATATATATATATATATATATATATATATATATTATCATTTAATTTTGAAAAAGCAAAACAAATATGTGAACCATTGACATCCAGTGTTGGGGAAAGTTACTTTAGAAAGCAATGCATTGCAATATTCAGTTACTCCCCCAAAAAGGTAACTAGTTGTGTTACTTAGTTACGTTTTATGGCAAGTAATGCATTACATTACTTTTGAGCTACTTTTGCATTTACTCTGCATCTGACAATGGACTAAAAAAGCACAAATATATATATATATATATATATATATATATATATATGTATATATATATATATATATATATATATATATATATATATATATATATATATATATAAATATATAAATATATATATATATATTTAAAGATAATTTTATCTGAGAACTTCCTTACCTCAGCGCTCTACATGCCGTATTTACAGATTATTGAAAGTTTAAAACAATGCGTTTTCTACTTTTGTACTATTTGTCTTAAATAAAATCATTGTCCATTGAAATTATCCCCTTTTCCTTTTCTTTGACAATTCATTTATTTATTTTTAAAAAGTGAATTAAATAAACTAAAAGTAACTCAAATATCATTACATTTTTTTTAAAGTAATGCGTTAATTTACACGTTACTCTATATTATTATGCAACTCATGTACTTGTAATGTGTTATGCCCCTCACTGCTGACATCCAGGGGCAGATTCAACCAATAAGCAAAATAAGCAGCCGGTTAGGATCCCAATAAATACCTAGAAGTAAAAATTATACATATAACATCATTTTCCATCATATTTTGTATGGTGAACGTCTTACAACTTCAATTTTAACATAATTATAAAACATACAAATTTGTCTTACACCCCCAATTATGGAGCAGTCCCGTCAAGTAAAGTTTTAGTTTTAAAAACAATTTATTATTTTTAATTTATTAATTTTTTTAGTTATTAATTAACTTTTAGAAAGCAAATATTCATTCATTCATTTTCTTTTCGGCTTTTTTCATTCATTAATCAAGGGGTCACCACAGCAGAATGAACCGCTAACTTATCCAGCATATGTTTTAACGCAATGGATGACCTTTCAGCTGCAACCCTTTTCTGGGAAACATCCATACACATACATTCACACTCATACAATATGGACAATTTAGCCGACCCAATTCACTTGTACCGCATGTCTTTGGACTGTGGGGGAAACCCACGCGAATGCGGGGAGAACAAGCAAACTCCACACAGAAATGCTAACTGAGCCAGCCAATACTCAAACCAGCGACCTTCTTGCTGTGTGGGGACAGCACTACCTAATGCGCCACTGCATCGCCCCAGAAAACAAATAATTTAAAATGATTTCATTGAGATAAAACATAGAAAAGTAGATTTAGTGATATAGGAAAAAGGCAGCAAAATAATAATAATAAAATTATAAAAAAAAAATTCATTTTAGGGCTGTTGGGTTCCATGGCTTGAACTGCTTAGGGCCACCAAATCACTAAATAGGCCCCTGTTGACATCCATAGTAAGAAAAAAAAATAAGAAAGTGAGTGGTTACAGATTTCTAGCTTATTTAAAACAGGGGTAGGGAGCCTATGGCTCGGGAGCCACATTTGGCTCTTTGACCAATAATATGTGGCTCTCCAGCTGTCTCCCTTCAATAATATTTCAAAGTTTAAAAAAGTATAACTGTCACTAGAAATCAGTTCCCTTTATATTGTATTTCCTACAGCAAAATTAATACCAACTCAGTTTACAATAAAAAGACATTCAAACCAATGCACATATGTGGTGGAACTGGAATTGCGATAATAAAAGGCAATCAAATTACATTTCTAACCTCACGCACGTAAATTCAAACAGCATTCACCTATAATGCAATTCTTTGGACTGTGCAAAACCCACGCCAACAAGGGGAAAACATACAAACTCCTTACAGAATTGCTAACTGACCCAGCCAGATCTCGAACCAGTGACCTTCTTGCTGTGAGGCGACAGTGCTAACAATTGAGCCACTGTGTCGCTCGCATTATGTAAATTTAATTTGGTTAATTTTTTTAAATTACTATGTTTACTCCTGGCAACTGTTTTCACTTGGATTCTGTACTGTAAATATATCTTCTCTCATTTTCATTTTGCTTTATTTGTTTATAATTGTTGTAAGATGTCCATGCTTGAACTAAGTTTGTACCAAAGACACATACACTGAAAAAAATGATTCATTGGATTTACTTAATTTTTTTAAGGCAAGCTGTTGCAAATAATTGAATTGGGTTAAGTTTAAGCAAACAATTTTAGTTGGATTTACTCAATTTATATGTGTTGGATTTAAACAATCAAATTAGGTTGGATTTACTCAATTTATATGTGTTGGATTTAAACAATCAAAATAAGTTGGATTTAATCAATTTTATTTAGTTACATTTATCCAATAAAATTTATTTAGTTCACTATAATTTAATTATGTTATTCCTACTTACATCTATTTATTTTTTATGTCTAAAATGATCATTAAACTGCTTGCAAATACACTTTGAAATGACACTTGACCACATTTGTTTTGAATTCATTTTAATGACTTTTAAGATGCATTTTTTAACAAAACATAAATCACTGCCTATAAATGCTTTAGCACCACACCATAAAACAATAAACAGTTTGTACAGCACATTTAATTTAAACCAACACATAAAAGAAAACTGTATGAAGTCTTAGAGCAAACTGCAATCCTTATGACACACACACCCCAATACACAAAAAAAAATCAACTAATTAACTTAAAAAATTAACTCATTAACATATTGAGCAACTACAAGTTGTATGAAATGGAATAAATACAAAGTTTATAGAATGCACATGCTCTCTCGCTCACACGCACGCACACACACACACACACACACACACACCATTTAAAAGAAGTTCCTACAGCTAATTAATTTTGCACACAAAGAAAACTGAATTCACTTATTAAACAATTCCTACACTAAACTGCTATTTGTATATGATATACATTTGGTTGTTGAGCATTTATCAACACTTCAATGCTTAAAATTACAGTATCACGCTGTTTTCCAGTCTGAGAACCTTTGAAGAGAGCTTGTCAGAGTTCATTTGCACAAGTACTTTTTGGGCAAACTTGTAATAGTATTTGAGTTCTTTTGGGTAGGCCAAATCAAGCACATAAATTGCCCCCAACATCAGTGCACAGGCTTGTGCAACAGATTTTATCTGTTCCATCACTGTTCCATCAACAACGATGCCAATGTCCTCATAATCTCCTCTTTCCTTTTTGATGACACATATGGCCATGGTGGTGTTGTTGCCAGGTCCTTCAAAAATTCTTCTTTTTGGTTGCCCTATATTTAAATAAAAAGAAACCATTATTAGACATTGTTTTTGAAACATATTTTGTAAAAAGTCAGAAGAAATCAAATGTAAATAAAACCAAAACCTTAACGGCCCTCCCCACACCCACATTGATACCTGTGAAATATTATATCAATCATTTATGATTGCATATTGGCGAACATATATTTGTGCATGATCTGCAAGTACGACTCCTTCACAATTATTTACAGGGTTTATTCAGGTTTTATCAGGGTAAATTTAAGATCTTTTAAGACTAACTAAAAATAATTTTGGAAAAAATAATTGAAAGGCAAACAATACAGTATTATGTTGAAAACTAAATATAATGTCAAGGAAGCATGATTGCATTATTATTTAAATAATATTACCCAAGGTTTAAGGCTTGAAAACCACAGATTTGGCCACTTGAATGTGGAAATACCTTCTGATCAGATTCACTGTATATCAATATACCTGGTCATAATTGTTCACCTTAACCCTTCTGTATTATTTAAATTTACTACCCTTTCCTTATGTTAGTTGCTGTTTTTTTTGCTCCATTGACTTCCATTATAACATTTTTTGGATGCAAATCCATGACAGCATGTAATCACGCATTGTTGCTGGTTTTCTTCTCTTTTCGGTAGATGTATATTTTGTCATTTTTACTGTTGATAATCAGTTGACAGCATAACCATCTAGATAGTCCTGTGCAAAAAAGTTTCTGGCTTTTATATGGAGTTCTTTGGAGTATAAACAGTAAATGATAGTGTGTGTGTGTGTATGTGTGCATAAATACACTTACTATGTTTACTATATGTCTGAAATAAATAAATAAGCAACTTTCAAAACAATGTGTGCAAAAGTCTCACGCACGCACGCACTTACACACACACACAAACACACACACACACACACACACACACACACACACACACACACACACACACACACACACACACACACACACTATACTCTGTATAACTCTATATAAAAACCACAAACCTTTGCAATGTTTTGAACTGATGATCAACTATAAAAATGACAAATTTGACCTTTTCCTAACAAGAAAAACCATTAATGATCGAAAATATTTAATATACTGTTATGACCTTGCAATTAAAGAATATTGTTATAATGGAAGTCAATGAGGCAAAATCAGCCACAAACATAACAAAAGAGTAATACATTTGCTCAGAGTGTATTGTTGAGGTTTTTAAAAATTTAAAAGCATTTTCCCAAAATATGAGTAAAAATAACATGTCACCAAAAATCATTTCATGAGCTCAAACAAAGAAATCTGTCGCCAAATTAATATCCTCAACAGCACACAAGGCTTAAGAATAATTGTCCACAAGTAAAATAAACATCAGCTAATGAAATTCAGTAGAAATGTCACACCTTGATGCAAAATTTAAGACTTTTTATGACCTTAAATTGTAAACATCTAATTTAATACTTAAGACTTTTCAAAGACCCACAGGACCTCTGCAAATAATAAAAAAAGTACAATGATAATAAAACAAATTTAATTGGACAAATTAATAGACATGTATATTTATTTAATTAGTATTTTTACGTGTCATTAATTAAACCAAAATAATTTAAATATATTAAGTATATTTTAAATGTATAAGTAAATATACAAATTTAAACTTTAAAAAAACGTCATGTTTCATTATTAGATTAAACATTTTAGAAGAATTATTCAGCAATACATTTTTGATTGTTAGTACGGCCACCCATTGACCTAAAAATGTCATTCAAGTCAAGTTGCTTTTAAACAGTAATTTTAATCTTAACATAAACATAAATGTTCTCTTTTTTGGAAAAAAGTGGTTTACTTGTAATTCTGTGAATATTTGTTTGTAATTAAGAAATAATAATACTGTTTAGAAAGACTAAAACAGGGGTGTCCAAACTCCTTCTTGGAGGGCCAGTGTTCTGCCGATTTTAGCTCATCCTTGCAGGTGTGTTGAGGCAAGATAGTTTCTAGATCACCTAGTAAGAGCTTGATTAGCTAGCATAGGTGTGTCTAATTGAATTGGAACTAAACTTAGAAGGACACAGGCCCTCCAGGACCAAGCTTGGGCACCCTTGGACTAAACAATCAATATCTCTGGGGTCAAACACAGATCTGAACCCAATGCTGAGAACGTCAAAGGATTAAGAAACATATGCAACTTTTAATCATTTAGTATTTTTAGGCATACTAATATTAGGCACATATATTGCGATTTTCAAAAAGTATTACATCGCTTTGTAAATGTTTATTATTACCATTTGTTGAGTCTCCCAATACTATTTGATATTGTCAAGCGATGTGATGTCACACTCAACAAGCTGATAGTTTTCTCACGGTTCAATAACAGTGTGTATTACCATTACAATGCAAGAGTTTGAGGCAAAAGATAATAGGTTGCTCTTATGCGTGTAGTGACCAATGGCATTTTTTTTTTACTTCATGTACAAATATATGGAAATAGAAAGCATTTGAAAAAAGAAAAAAGCCATTGACATATACAGTGAAAACACTATTTTTAAATTCTTTAAAATTATTAATTTTGTTTTTGAGATATTAAAATATTTTGTTCATTGTTCTATTCATACTTTTGCATTGAATTAGTATGCAACTTACTTGCACGAATCTAGCAAGTGTTTGTGCAGCGCAATGTGATTTGAATAGACCATAATGTGTTCAACATTAGGTTCACCTATTAATTCAAATATGGCACTCAAAAAAGTTTGTTTGTCTCATTGGCCACTGTAACCCCACCCTCAGCCTCTGAACAAAGCAGTTCTTTCTTATAGCCCAGGTGCAAGCATGGGCTATAAGAAAGTACTATGATGCACTCACCATGTATTCTTTCACCAGGCATGCCTCATCCTCACCAAGGTAAGTAAAGAGAGCTTGAAGAAAAGACGCTCTTTGGACATCGGTTGTCTGTAAATAATACAAATTTGATTAGTTAAATACATAAATGACAAATTGGAAAACGTTAAGAAATGTATTAGATTAGATTAAACTTTGTCATTACACATGTACAAGTACAATGCAACGAAAATCAGTTTAACCAGCAGTGCAATAGCAGCAAGTGCAGTATACAGGTATAAGTTATAAAGTGCAGATATAGAAAAACTTTAGTGATATTTACAGATGGATGTACTATCAACATTATATACAGGTTGTATTAGCTATGAACAGAGATTTAAAATAAATTATTATATGTACAGGTTGCTATTAATAATCAGAAGTGTACAGATAGATAAACAATTACAAGTGTACAGTATATGTATAGTTCAAATGAATGAATCAGTCTAATGTAGTGCAATGAATGTGTAATTTTTAAATGTGCAAATGTTAAATAGTGCAATGATAATGAGGAGTACAAGTTATGAGGACAGTGGGGGTGTATTAGGAGGGCAAAATAATTAGTGGGGGATAGAGTTAAAAAGGGACAGCTCTGAGGAAAGTGCTGTACTTTAAGGCTGATTTATACTTCTGCGTCAAACGCACGCCAATGCTACGGCGCTGATGCATAGCCCTTCGCTGTGGCCGTCAGCGTCGCTGACGTGCACCTCTCAAAAAATGTAACTACACATCGCAACGACATGTAGCGCAAGCTCTGTGATTGGTCGGCTTGGTAGTGGCCAAGTGGACAGATGATGTATCTCCTCCCTGTAGGCCGTCTCATCATTATTGCTGATTAGACCAATCACTGTGGTGTCATCTGCAAATTTGATGATGTTGGATCTATTCACAGGCCTACAGTTGATAGTAAAAAAGAAGTAGAGGAAGAGGCTCAGCACACAGCCCTGTGGTACACCAGGGTTAAGTGTGAAGATGGTGGAGCAGATGTGGCCTGATCTAACATTCTGAGGTCTTTTAGTCAGAAAGTCCATTATCCAGTTGCAGAGAGACGTGTCGATATCCAGGTCTCTAAGTTTAATCATTAACTAATGCCGAGTTCAGACTGCATGATTTTGAAAGTAGTCGTTGCTGCTTTATTTTCACTGCAAGATGGATCGGCGACAGGGACTTGAACATTGCATGACTTTACAATAGGAAGAATCGCCGACAACTTCGTCTAAACTACGTCTCACAACCCAAAAACCATTTGTTTGACCAGGCTGTGGATTAATGCTAATATTGCAAATAATGTTAAATTTCTTACACAGACCAATTGTTTTACTTTACAGGACCTTCATCAGGAGCTATGGCTTTAGATTTGGACTTTATTCTTAAACTGAAAAACCCATCCTCATTCGCTGCCATTATTTGAATCACCATGTACCACAGATTCAGCTAAAAATCATCAGTAGTGTTATATTAACATTAACTTAAATAAATATTAATTTATTTTCTTCTCGGCTTAATCCCTTTATTAATCTGGGGTCGCCACAGCGAAATGAACCGCCAACTTATCCAGCATGTTTTACACAGCGGATGCCCTTCAAGCTGCAAACCATCACTGGGAAACATCCATACACTTTCATTTACACACATACACTACAATTTACCTTACCCAATTCCCCTATAACGCATGTCTTTGGACTTATGGGGGAAACCGGAGCACCCGGAGGAAACCCATGCGAACGCGGGGAGAACATGCAGACTCCACACAGAAATGCCAACAGATCCAGTCGAGAATCGAACTAGCGATCTTCTTGCTGTGAGGTGAGAGCGCTTCCCACTGCGCCACCTGTTAAATAAATATATTTTTAAAAATAAAAAGAATTAATAACTGAAACCAGCTCAAATGTTATCGATTATTTATGTCATATGCCATGTCCCGAATAAAACAAGTTACCGTAATGCACAATTGTTAGTCATTTGAGACTCCTTTATTACAGCACTCCCACAAGTTTCTCTCTTGCTTTCACAAATAAAATTATACATATTTAATGTATATCCATTATTAATAGCCTATCTACGTTTTGCCCAGCTAGCGAAACCTGCAGGTAAAGGTAGCCTATAAGCATATTTTTTTCAGTGCATGCATTGACTGCATCGTCAAATACATAGAATATAAGTATGTTTGTGGCATGATAAGCATAGACATGAGCATTATTCAGAACATAGCCTATATATTTATTTTTAAAATGTTATATTTAGAAATTAAAACTATATTAAATTTCAACTTGCAGTAATAATCTAAACATTAAACTTTGCCTCGATGTTGTGCACTTATTATCCTTTAACACACCTAAATCTGACGATTGTCCCTTACATGTATATTACATTTATAATGATACTTAAATTTATTTAATCAACTGACTGTTTACTTGTGAATAGTTTGTTTAGTTACACTATATTTAAAGTGATTTCTTTTTTCGACTACCTTGTAATTTAACTTGTTCAGCCAAGATAAAGACATGTAAAGGCTGATTTATACTTCTGCATCAAATGCACGTGTATGGTCCGACGCAGACTGTACGCAGTTGAATAGCCCTTGCCGTGGCACATCTCTCCAAAAATGTAACTACACATCGCAACAACACGTAGCGCACGCTCTATTAGTGGGCTTGGTAGCGCTTACGTGTGTGGGCGGGGTTGAGAGCCACGCCAACCCATTGGAGCTAGTGTTTACAAGTGTAGAGTCCCATGAAATAGCTCCAGGTGGAAACTGTTGCTTTGTGTTTACCTTATGATTAAAGTTGTTGCATGACCGCCGGCTCCCGCCTCAGAATGAGCGAGTTTTATCTTCTCGTTCATTAAGGTAGTGTTCAGAAAAAACAAAACCCAAGCGAAGAAACTCCATACAGAGGGAACATATAAACCTACTGATTTTGTAAGTGTTATTGTAGAACAACACAAACAGTGCGCACAAGTATAAGTGCTCAGCTGCACGCAGGGCAGGCGCCGTAGGTCACGCCAATCACTCAACGCAGAAGTACAAACCAGGCTTAAGGCCGAATGTGCATTGTGCAATTTTGAGCCAAATTCTGATGCGACTCTTCTTTGAATCAAATTAAATTTCAACTTTGATATTTGCTGTGCTGTGTTGATGCAATATACAGGAGGAAAAAAAAGGTGAATAACCTCTCTTGGTCGGCAGATAGTCGAATCATTTTATGGAAGGTCAGACATATTGGTCGGCTCTCTTGAGAGAATCACGGAGTTGAATCAAAGTTGAACTCTGTGTTTGTGCTCTTACTGCACCCTAGTACTGTGAAAACTAGGGAAGCAACAATAGCATTTACTTATTCTTCACTTGTCACAAACCTGTTTGAGTTTCTTTGTTCTGATAAACACAACATAAGATCATTTGAAAAATGATGAAAACCGGTAACCATTGACTTCCATAATATGTTTTTACTACTATGAATGTCAATGATTACTGGTTTCTAACACTCTTCAAAATATTTTGTATTGTGTTCAACAGATAAAAGAAACTCAAAGGTTTGGAACCATGGAAACATGGTGAGTGAATAGTGAGTAAATTTCCTTTTTTGGGACTATTTAGATTTTTCAGAGCAACATATTCAGTTAAGAAACTGTTTACTGTAATGTGTAGTGATAAATGTTTTGCAGTTACTTACCATAAAAATGTTGATGGAAAATTCCAACTGCAGTACTGGACAGAAAATGTGTTTAACCCCTGACCAAGGAACTCAGCATAGAAAACTTGTTGTACAGTACCTCAAATGAAAGGAAGCACATGATTATCATTTAGGTTCAAAATTCAGCACAAGTAACAACATGACCAACTTCTTAATCAACATACTGTTTACAGATTAATTATATTAGGAAACATTTAGATAAATTACTTATTGAACAAATTGCTGAACGTGATTAATATGATTAAGATAATCATCACTGCCTGATTGATACGATATAAAGTGGGTCTCAGACCAGACAAAGCACTGCATTAAATTCCATTCTTCAACGCCATGTCTTAAAAATATGTCAATTTATTTTAACCACAATATTTTCCATGAAGTTTTAGCACTCGTCTGCATGTGTTTTACGTTTGAACAACTAAAGGATTGCTTCAGCTTATTTAAAGAATATTATTTTAATTAAATTACATTATCGTTGATGTAAAAGGCACTTTATGAATATGGAAAAAGTCACATTAAGTTAACCTTGCGCTGGACGTTTATCGGTGGCTGATAAACACTTGCTGTGAATATAAGTTAGCCCATTAAGAGCATTATAACCCCAAAGACATAATTACAGCATCTCACGTAAAAAATAAAGAACTGTATAAATGGACGCTCTTTACGTTAAAAGTTAATGTTACGCCAGTATGGGCACACATTGGACAACCTCCTAAGACAGTCAGTAGTGCCCTAACGCCAGACCAAATCGTTCTATAACAAAATCAGTATGGTACTGTCCGTTCACAACTATCTAAAAGCATGTTTAATGTTAACCATAGTAAAAGCCACGGTAAATTCACAAAGGACTGAGCTAACGTTAGAAACGAAGCTTTTTTCGTTTGGAATGGCGGATCACGGACACTGTCGTCACATCAAAGCAAATGCTTATTCTCTTGAAAATAGCCATTTACTTCATTAAAAAAACATTATATATCAAGTCTACATAACTACATTCTTGCTAAAAAGAATCTTAAATATATTCTGCGACATAAAAGCGAGATTTGTCAAACCGTGTGTAACGTTAACTGTTAGCTTAACTTGCGAGCGCGCTCGACGGCTGGTCAATGTGAAATTTAAAAACGACCAAAATAGACAGTCCGAACGAGAGACCATTTTATGCGTCTATGTTACCCACAAAGTTTTTTCTGTAATAAACAGTCTGGTACAATATAAAATGTGACTTACTGTGCAAATGGATGTACAGAAATCCGGCTCTGGCGTCTTGCTTCAATCTGACTGGATTCTGTAAAACTTGCTTTGGGCTTTGGCGCCGAGGCAACGGAACATAACGCGCATGCGCACAAAGCTAACATAATTTTTTGTAATAGACTTAAATTAATTAATTTAGATTGGTTCAAAACACATCCAATTCACTTAAAACCGATTAAAAATAATTTAATAAAATCAACAACTAAATTCAATTGTTTAAAATAAACTAAATTGAATTATGTTTAATTTAATAGAGGGCTAAATCATTTTTTTCAGTGTATATACATATTTTGGCTACAACAAAAAAGAGAAGTATTGAAGAATACATTTAAGAAACGATTCAATGGAAGTTAAAGTTAAAGAAATGCTGATGGTAAGAATGATAGTTTAAATTACTTGAAGGAATCTGGTTTATTTAACAATGTTGTTTATTTATATTCAATTTTGATGGAAGCATGGTTGACTCAGAGCGCCACAATGGCTCAGTGGTTAGCATTGTCACCTCACAGCAAGCAGGTCTCTGGTTCGAGTCCCAGCTAGGTCAGTTGGTATTTCTGTTTAGAGTTTGCATGTTTTCCTTGTGTTCGTTTGGCTGTCCTCAGGGTGCTCGGTTTCCCCCACAGCAGACATGTGGTATTGAGTACACTAAATTGGCCATAGTGTATGAGTGTGTATGGATGTTTCCCAGTAATGTGTTGCAGCTGAAAGGGCATTGTCTAAAAAAATATCATGGATAAGTTGGGGGTTCATTCCGCTGTGCGACTCCTGATAAATAAAGGGACTAAACCAAAGGAAAATAAATGAGGTAGTTGACTCAGACCCACGTTCCAGTACAGTAGGGGGCGATCTTACCGTTTGGTAGATGCAGACCGACATTAAACAAAAGGAAGAAGACTTCACATCTGACTGCACATAGATATGAGCACTTAGAGGCCGCATTTGAGGGTTTGAATAAAGCTGAATGTTAATCTAGCTGTGTGTATCTATGTGCCAATGAATGACGGCTCTTTCGCTTCCAACATCTAAGGAAATGTTTGGCTAGTGCAGTCGACTTTTCAGCAAAATATTATGTTTATTTATTTTTGTGTTCGGCCAAGAGTGTAACTTTGGTAGTCGATTTTTGCATATATAATACAATTTCGGTTAATGTAGACTAACCGAGTCGCATACGGTGAAAACACAAGCTGAAATTGAACTTAAGATACCTTTTCATAACAGTCGAAAGTGAAACAGCCAGGCAATAGTTTTATTAACTTACTCGGTTCCAGTCGGGATTATGAAGCTGTCAAGCTCTTCATCGTTTGGACTTTGTATTTTAGTCGTTTTTTTCTGTTTTGTTGTTATCGAAAGTGCAAAAATCCGCATTGACGGTTATAATGATGAGGCTTGGATTGATCCATATGACATGCTGAACTACGACCCGACGACAAAGCGAATGAGAAAATCCACAGAGGTAAAAGCGATTTTAATTACTGTCACTCGTGTATTTCAGTATTTGCAATTTAAAACCTTTTCTGTTGGCATTTGTTTGTGAAATTAGACTCTACTTTGCCTTGTTTACTCTTTTGGATAGATTCCATATGTGGAAAGTCCGCCCAACAATATTGAAAATTCAATTATTATTTAGTCATTCTGGTGTTGTTAAAATGCTTTTTGTATGCTATTCATGTTCAAAACTGTTAAAGGAAAATAACTACAAAGAGGTTCTTGCATTGCTCCATATAATGACATGATTGCTAGTTGCGTTGCGACCAGCCTCTTAAAGAGGCAGTTCACCCCAATGCGAAAAAAAAGAAATTCTCACTCTCAAGTGGTTCCGATACCTTGTTTCTTTTTCGTGAAAGAAAGATATTTTGAAGAAAGTTAAAAATATTTAACCATTGGCTTCCATGGTAGGGGAAAGTCGATAGTTTTCAGTTTTCCAGGTTTTCTTTTTAAATTATCATAATTTTTGTTTAACAGAAGAAACTCATAAAGGTTTGGATCAAGCAAAGGTTGAGTACATTTTTAGTTTTGGGTGAAGTACCCCTTTAATCTTAAACACACACACACACACACACACACACACACACACACACACACACACACACACACACACACACAGAATGATACTATACAGTACTGCTTGTGATACTTTCCGTTTCCAACAGTCTGTGAAAAAAAAAAAAAAATCCAGATTCTTGAAATTTTTTAGTGAAAATCCTAACCTTGGCCATTGGCTTGCTGTGTGCGACTGCACAATCATGAGTATTGCATTGACTGAATGACGTTAGTGGTTAAAGGGATAGTTTACCCCAAAATTACATTTACTCACTATTTACTCATTTTCAAGTGGTTCTGAACTTTTATGATAGATGTAAAGTCGGTTATATATTACCACATTCATTAATTTAGCTGTCTCTATATTGTTTACCATGTTACCTTGAATATTCGATCGGAATTAACATGCAAGTATGAATTTAAAACAACACTAACCCTATCCAATTAACTGTAAACAATGCTCTACTTTGATAGTCATTTGCTGCTAATATGATTTCCCTATTTAGAATTTGCAAAGAATACTTCTGAAATTATAGTATTAAGGAGAATGTCTGAATATCCGAATATAAAACCAACTTTACCTCGATATACGTGTGTGATAATTTCCGCGTTCAACAGTGTCTGTGGTAAAAATGAATCAAGATTCTTTAAATTATTTAGTGAAAATATTGACCTTGGCCGTTGGCTTGCTGTGCACGACTGCACAATCATGATACTATTGCAGTGACTGAATGGCGTTTGTGGTTAAAGGGATTGTTTACCCAAAAAAATTACATTTACTCAATATTTACTCATTTTCAACTCATTTACTCATTTTCAAACACCTGTAACCATTGACATTCATAGTAGGAAAAACAAATACTACTAAAAACAATGATTGCAGGTTTTAAGCATTCTTAAAAATATCTTCCTTTGTGTTCAATAGAATAGAAAGTGAAACTGGATTTGTTGCAAGTGCAGGGTGGGTAAGTGGTGACAGTAATTTCAGCTTTGAGTGAACTACCTCTTTCATTTTCATGTTTTAGGGTATGTCCAAAATTACATGCTTCCTTATGATATAATGTTATTCGAAAAACAGTATTTGAGCATGCAAGTATGGTTGCACGATTTACCAGTGCTATGTAATACTGGCTTTGCCTCAGTAGTTTGTAAATAGTAGTATCGTCATTAATGGTTTATCTACAATAGATAATGTTGCATGTGGAAAAGTCACTAAAATGCTCACTCGTTTGTGCAAAAATAAACCATTTTATTTGAATGGTCTGTCGAGCTCTTTAAGGTTGTAAAACAGTGTAGAATTTGTGCCTTTTATGGTATCCTATTGCACGTTTTCTAATGCTTCAGTTCAAACGCACATCTGAATTGGTTCATTTATGTTCCTGTTAATATGATTTAATAACTACAACAATTGTGACAATCTCTTAAAAAGAACGACTCACAAAGATAAATGTTAAATTACTTTGGATTGTTATCTGATAAGACTGAAAAAAGATAGATGAAAAAACCCAAAATAGCAACAGGAAAAATTGAAACTATTTTGACCACTTCATATAGACTAATTTTGTTGTAAACAATGTTTTGTAACAAATTTTGTTACAAATTTAATTTAGTATAATAGGATATATGTAGGAGTATGCAGAAGGACTTTTAATTTGTCAGTAACCTGGGTCAAACACTTCTGTTGAACTGTATGCCATTACAAAATTGGTGCGTTTAAAAGTCTGTTTTCTTGAAAAATCTACGATCTTCACTGCCTGAATGATATATGCTATAAAGTGGGTTTCATAATGTACAAGAAGCACTGCAATAAATTACATTTTTTCTCACTATGTCTTTAAAGTATTTAAATTTATTTCACTCTAGTATTTTTAATAGCATTTCTGCGCTAGCCTGCTGATCCAGACAAGCGCATGCAAGTAAACAGCTTTTTATCTCGGTTTTATGCGTCAACAACTAAATGAATGCTGAAGTTTATTTAACTGATTATATTTTAATCACTTTACAACATCAGTGCTGTAAAAATAACTGTATAAAATGTAAAAAGTCACATTAACCGTAACTGGAAGTATGGGAAGAAACACTTGCTTTGCATTTACACTATTTGTTTTTCTACTTTATGTGTTTTTGTTGGTCAATTATCTACAAAATAAACAAAAAAATGAATACATATTAAGTGAAGTGAGGAGCAAATAATATTTTTTTTTCCTTTTGGCCCAGGGGAATTATAAATTAAATTCAAGTAGGCTTATTATAACATAAAATATAGTATTTCTGACAATTTCCTTTATAATTTGAGTTGTGAATTACGTTATCGCAATATTAGATGGTATTGTGGTATTGTAATACTTCAGCTGGTATAATATCGTAAGATTTATTAATGGTATCGCGACAACCCTACAGGCTAGTATGTCCAAAGTCATATTATTTGAAAAACTAGGGCTGCACGATTTTGGACAAAATCTCACATTGCAAAATTTTGTTTGTCTGCGATTATATATTGCAATATGAATATAATTTCACAAGATGACTTCTAACTCTATTTGGAATGAATTCCTAATTTTACATAGATTGGGATTATTTTGTAGAGATGTGTCTGAATAAAAATCAATATAATTGAACAGATGCCAATGAATTATGGTTTTCTGTGGAACATAACAGCATTGAGGTACAGAAATTCAATAATAATATGTAAAATAACACAGTATATGGCAGAGCCTCTATTTTATAAATAATTAAATGCAATACATTTTTGGTTTATACACTTTTATAAACTCTCAATTTAAGTGTGCTTAAATCTTACCGTACGTTCACACCGAAAGCGGCGAGAGCGTCCAAGGTCGCTCTGGCCGCCCTGGCGACAACGCTCTCTGCCTTCAGCTCCTGCGGCAAGAGCGTCAAAACTCGCTACATTGATCTCATATTTAAAGGAGCCGTTGCAGCATATCAGTTACATTCCTGCATAAAACATGTTTCTAGCGTGAAAATGTTGCGCATTTCTTATCAAATTCATACAACAATGGAAGATCAAGTTGCGTGTGGCTTTGCTCTATTTATCCAATATGTGTCCATATGCCTGAAATATCCTGAAGCAGCAGTACTGTTTTGTACTGTCACATCGCGTGAGATTCCCGCTTTTTTAAGATAAATATATAACATTAATGAACATCAGTAACTCGCCAGTAACTTATTTAATGCATGTTCCTGTAGGAAAAAATTGTAAATAATTGGAAATCCGGCGACTGCAATAATCAAACCCTTGGGAACAACTGTGGTCGGAACCAAAGTTCACAGGTCTGTGTTCTCTGAACTGCCACAAGCAATGGACGTCTTCATTCTGATTGCTTGCCGCCGAACTGCGTCATAGCTCATTACCATAAAGTTGACTTCATTTCAACTCTCCTCGACGCTCACGCCGGCGAAGACGCGCCGCGCTGATCCTCGCCGCTTATCGCCGCCGGCTCTCATTGAAAATGAATGACTTCCGGCTACTTTGACGCTCTCGCCGCTTTCGGTGTGAACGTAGGGTTACACAGTCACAGGTCTTAAAAATACATTCAAATGAAAGTCTTTTACTTTATTTTAAGATTAAACTTTGCGATGACCCCAAAAGCCAAGGTTGATCATTTTTGAATGGAAGCGAAGGGAAAAAACTGACGGCAGGTGTGATTTAGCCAGGTAGGATTCAATTCTGGATTAATACCTTGTTGATCCTGGAACATCATTCCTGTTTAAAAATAATCAATACCTAATTCCTTCCCCTAAACCTAATCCTAACTGTAAATTATTTCCAAAATCAGAGCACATTATTAGTTGGATAACAATGGTGTAGAAGCGCATAATCCTGTAGGCTGAAACATACATTACAACTTTAAATCTAATTGACCGAGGGTGACATGGTTGCTCCAGTTTCTCCCACAAGTCCAAAGACTGGCATTATAGGTGAACTGAATAAACTAAATTGGCCATAATGTATGTGTGTGAATGAGAGTGTATGGACGTTTCCCAGTACTGGGTTGCAGCTGGAATGGTATCCGCTGTGTAAAACATATGCTGGATACAGTAAGTTGTTGGTTCATTCCGCTGTGGTGATCCCTGATTAATAAAGAGACTAAGTCGAAGAAAAATTAAATGACTGGAAATTTCAACATGATCCAGGAACATGTCCTGCTTTGAAAATCACACTAAACCACAACTGACAGTAGCAGGTCATGTGCTAATGATAATGTAGTACATCTGCATTCTATTCATGCTACTCATACTAGCAAGTTCTGGAGTTGGCTAAACGCAGGAAATTCCAGTAAAATTTTGTGAACATTTTGCAATAGTGTAGACATTTGAAAAAAAAAAAAACTCAAACGAAGTTCACTTTTAAAACAAGCAGCTTTCTGTTGGTCATTGTGGCAAATCTGTCTGACCAATTTTACCCTTAATTAAGTGTGTGGACATCTTTCACCACCACATAAAATAAAATTTGGAGTTATGGCCACAAAATTGGCCAGATGGTGGTTATTTCGATTAGAAGTCATCGATTCTGCTGGTCACAGAACGGACACTATTTACATGTAAACAAAGTGTTGGTCTGATTTGCCTTGCAATTGTTGTCATTTTGCAGAAGGTATGCAAATATACATTTTAATCATAAACTCTTTTTGTGTTTACAGTCTGAAAGTTACCAAAATGTGCCAACCAAGAGGAGGGAATTCAACTCGGAATCCTGTGACGTGCCAAAGTGTCCTGATGAACATGAATGCATAAAAAAACTACACATTTTGCAGAAAGAGGTGAAAAATAATAGGCCTACATGTTTAATAGGCCTCATTAGTAAAGGGGCTTACCATGGAATGGTAGTGTTATGGCCCGTTTCCACTGAGAGGTACAGTACGGGTCATCTTTATCAAGCTTGCGTTTCCACTGCCAAAAGTCTACTTTTTTGGTGGGCGTGATGTACGACAGAAAGTTTCCATAATTCCGAGTTTATAATAGTCCAAAAGTTGATGATAATAGTAAAACATGGCAGTTTGTTCATTTGCTGCGGTTTTTTCGCGATTCACTCATGTTTGTCCCTTTCTGAAAGGATTGGATATCAGAGCGCTTCAATGATCACGAGCACATTATGAATATGAACTCAAAAAGTTTTTTATTCAAATATAGATGTGCAGCAAGCTCTCTGGAAAAAGTGAAACCGTTCGCACTTTTAGACGGGCTCGTAAAACAACAACAGGACACTAGGGCTGCACGATTCTGGCTAAAATGAGAATCACAATTTTTTTTGCTCAAAATCAAGATCACGATTTTCTTACGATTCTGTAGATGTAAAATAAAGGTTAATATTGTCGCTATTATTATTGTTATTCTCAAACATACAGTAAAACAATAATAATAATAATACAATAATAATAGGCCTATGTGTAGGTCTACTGCTGGTTAAAATGCTACATTTTGGATAGACTTGGATAGGTGGACTTAAACAGACTTAAAATTTGTCCTGGTTGTTAAGTCACAGTCAAGTGATGACATCAGAATTTAACAATTCATAATTCCGAAGTTGAATTATTATGTTTGTGACATGTGCTTGTCATTTGTCATTGACAACATTATTATAATTTTTTTTTTTACTGTTAAAATGAGACATGAGTCATTATCAGATTCCCTGCATTATATTCAACATTGTATAGGCTAGAGTAGTTTTACTGACCCAGTAAACATTTATTCTAATGCACAACACTTTGTGTTCGCTATGAAAGAAAAAACCTATCAAATGCTTGACGTAATCATAACTCTAAAATGCGAAATGCGCGAGCCGGTTTTACGATCACTGTCGAGTGCGCTGCTGTCATTGCAGCTGTTACAGAAAAAAAAACATACACGCAAATCATACTTTCCACGCAGCTCCCAAACGATCACCCTGTGCAACAAACTGAATGTTATTTACAACTTTATTAGCTGTTATTTACAGCCTACGCAGGTTCTGTTCAATAACGTAGACATCCTCAGGCACGCGCGCGCGCATCCTCCTGGTAGTAAACAAACAGTGCGCCAGCTCACATGTGATTTTGCGGTCGCGAATACATCATTACATTAAGACAAAAATGACATTTTGGGGTGAAATACACCTTATAAATACAGCATGGGAGACTGTCAAGACCATTTGGAAGTGTTCATGTTGCTGATCAATGTATGTAAAACAATATAAATGTATATAATGTATATAAAACAAGACTTGTGCAACTGCCTTTATGCTTCTCTCCTGACCTTAAATATGTAATTGGATGAATCGTAGAAAAGCTAAATTAAGATTGTGTGTAGGGTCGAATCGAGGTCGCAATCTTCTTTCCATTAATCGTGCAGCCCTACAGAAAACAGCAGATTTTGTTCTTCTTGGCTTTGTCCTTGACCTTGACAAGGTTTGTTTGAGCTTGGGTCGACTATGGCTCGTTATTATATGTATATATTATTACAGTAAAATGTATCGGCTGCAAGTGACCAATAACGTTCAGCTGCATTAAGCTCCGCTTTATGGTACCCTTTGGGCCTGTTGGTACCCTTTGCAAAGGTTGACCAAAAAGTGGTATGGTACGGTTTGCTTTTAGGTACCCTTTGACAGTGGAAACAGCCATAAAAGCATACCGAACCGAACCGCTCTGTGGAAACAGGCCATTATAGTATTACAAAGTGCTATAGTATTTCCAAGATATTTAGGCATTTACATTTTTTCTCTTATCTCTGTTTTAGTTTGATGAACAGAAAAGTAAGAGCACTGCCACCCTCTCAAAACCAGTATGCCTTCCAGTATTCAAGCGATTCCTTTCCAAGCTACTAAAGGAAACGTCAAAGCTTGGCCTGGTACGTGAACAACTTTTCAGCAAATTGAATGGACAGTACTGGTTAGGTATTTGCAACTAATCCTTTTTCTTGTTTTTAGCCTGATGATGGAATAACAGCCATGCACTATGATGCTGAGGTGAAGCTTTCCAAGCAGTCGCTGGCAGAGATCCAGAAGCTTTTGAATGATGAAGACGGCTGGACCACCGGAGCCATGGACGAGGCTCTCAGTCAAATTCTGGTACAATTCAAACTCCACGACTACGAAGCCTGGAAGTGGCGATTCGAGGACACATTTCATGTAGATGTTGACACTGTCCTCAAGGTGAGTTCTTCTAAAAGCCTTTCAAAGATGAACAATAAGTTAAAAAATCAACAATATTTGCTGTATTTTTCCTGCAGGTTTCTTTGATTGTTCTGATCATCGTAGCCATTATCTGCACTCAGCTCTGGTCTGTGGTCTCCTGGTTTGTCCAGTTCAGGAGAATGTTTGCCGTTTCCTTTTTTATTAGCTTGATCTGGAACTGGTTTCATCTTTATATGGTAATCGTTTTAGCATTGTTGACTTTGTGAGTAATAGTGGTGTAACGGATTACGAATCGGATCACGTTATGATTTTTCAATCACGGATCAGACTATTTTTCGGATCAGCCAAAAAGGATAGGAGCCAAAAAAGTACTGCATGATACTTTTGGTTTTAACAAACAGAAATTAGAAGCTGTAATTTTATAAAAAATAAAATGAAGAAATAATAAGCTGAATAAAATATAAATTGTAAAATATTGATGTTTTGATGATTTTAATCTTTACCATAAACATCAGTGGTTTTATCTGCAATATAAATGGTTATCCCCATTCTACTGTGTTACTTTACTGTAATTTCATAACTAACTCAAAAGACTAAAAACCGAATCTCTTCCTTGATTTTTTTTCTGTTGTTCAAACATAGATTTGATATATAAATTTAACTTAATAAATATGTTAATAAACATATGCAAATTTCCATCATTTAAAATTTATGTTGCGTGGGTGTTGAGATCCCGATCTTTTAATGATTAATCATGCATCTTACACTGATTGCATTGATGCAGGCTAAACAAGTAGTGACAGAAAACACCTTTAATAACCTAAGAAACCCACCACATCCCTAATCACCTACCACAATGTCTTCTGTCATCATTATATTTTGCAGGAAAGCCTAAATGTTTGTAATGTGATTTGAATGATGCAAGAGCCGATCTCTTTGCAATCGTTACAATTTTAGGATTAATCTAAAAGTAAAAAAAATAATAATATTCCGCGGGCCACGCATGTTCTGAACCATGGGTTGTGATCCATATGAATCACGGATCCATTGTGATCCATTACACCCCTAGTGAGAAACATTTCTGAACAGATAAAGAATTTTATTTTTTTAACATTGTTTCTTGACTAGCTTGCCTTTGCGGAACACAAGAAGAACATTGTGCAGGTGGAGAGTTTCAATGCCAAATGTACTGGCCTAAAACAACTCAACTGGCAGGACAGTTTATCAGGTGAGGCAATTTCTTCTTCATTTGAGAGTGTTTTCACACCTAGTTCCTTTAACCATTTCAAATGCTCTCGGGGCAGGTTTAGCAGGTACAGTATATGCAAAGTGATCTCTGACCCCCTAAGGCCCCGTTTACACTAGTGCGTTTTAGTTTGAAAACGCATACGTTTTGCTACGGTTACGCCATCCGTCCACACTACGCCGGAGTTCTCGAGCGCCGAAAACGGAGCGTTTCGAAAACGCTGGAGAGGCCGTTTTCATTCTGAAACGCAGCTGCTCCGTCTCAGTGTGGATGGGGAAAGACGGAGACATCTGAAAACGGAGGCGGGGCTGCAGACATTCGCCTCTCTGATTGGGGCTTTTCCTCAATATTAAGTAGCCTAACACACAGTTCAGTCCTGAATCTTCTCCGTGTAAGTTCAGACATCGCAAGTTTGATCAAGGCTGCATCTCTTCTTCTCAGTTTGATATGGAAAACATACCGAGGACACGCGTCAATCTTCACAGGGAATCGTGTACTTTATAACTTCATTCACATCACCTTGGCTACGTTGTTTCACTTTCTCAACAATAAAATGTAAACTTGATATAAGGAACTGCCTGTTTTTATTTTAATATTAACAACTAAACAGACAGCAGACATGTTGAGGCGTCGTGCTGCATGAGCGTCATCTTCACTGTGTGCATATTTATAACAAAACGGAGCCGATAACAACTGCCTTCTTTCAATTTCAGTGAAAATACGAAACACACCCTCTCTTTTGCTGAATATCAGTTTTAATAATCGATAATGGCCATTATAAAAGTATAAAATACAATAGGTTTATACATTATAGGAAATAAAGGCAAGCGATCAGTCAATATACATAATGTAGGCTACGTGGTTTCATTAATCATTAACTTATCTTTGCGCTCAGCCAAAACACGTTACCTGAGAACAAGTAATAGATTCCAATGACCAAAGTCAGGGAATATGTCGTTAGATAAAGACAACAAGATGAATGAAATATCACGTTTAATAAATATAGTGAGATTAGATCCAGCGGGAGATGCTTGATGAGAAGTCCGACTAGCAGAGCTCTCATCTGGGTAGATGGGCTGCAGCACTTGCCAAAGTGTGTGTGTGTGGTCACGTGATGTGCGTTTTCAGCGTTTTGGTGTGGACGGAGAGCAGTTCAGAAACGCTGGGTAAAACGCGAGTGTGGACGCGGATCGTTTTCATTCTAAAACGCCGTTTTAAAACTAAAACGCTCTAGTGTAAACGGGGCCTAAATGGACCCAAAAGTGAATCAAATCAAACCACCTCTGGAAGTGTTTTAAATATGGTTCGATTGAGTCCATTTAGGGGAGTCTAAGATTATTTTGCATATCAAAACCAAACAACAAAAAAAACAACAACAAACCAAGGAATCTCACACTCCCCTAAATGGACTCACAATTGAAACGTATTTAAAACACTTCCAGAGGTGGTTTGCTTTGGTTCGATTGTGACTATTTGATTTGATATTCTTAAAATGAATGTAGCTCGAAACACTCTTTTTTATGATCAGATCTATTGATCTTTTCAAATGCCAAAAATGACAGAAGTAGACTGAAACTAACCTACTGATTTTAAATGACATGAAGATGAGTAAATAATGATTTAGGGATGTACTGATGTGATTCTTTGTTGATTTAGAGTGGTACAGACGGACATGGACACTTCAAGATGATCCTTGCAAGAAGTATTACGAGGTCCTGGTTGTGAACCCTATTTTGCTTGTACCACCAACAAAGGTTTGTATTCTTTTGGTTTCCAATGACACAAACTTGAACTTTATAAGAGATCACATTGATTACTCTATTACCTGGATTTGGTTATTGACCATTTGACACTATCCAGGATTGTTTCGTTCTTCAAAACTCATCTGAGAGTTGTTATCATAGCAACAGATCTGGTAGCTCAAATCTACTCGGGAGCAGGCACTTGGGAAAATAGTAAAGTTACAGTTAAAAGCTGTAGTTATGTTAAATATCCGTTTTAAAATATAGATAAATAAAACTGATGCAATCTTCACTCCAAAATAAAAGTACAAAGACTGTCACGGGGTGATTCTCCCCAAGGGGTTCAAAGAGAACATATATTATATGGACTTTTTAGATAAAACGCATACAATTTAAAGGTAACGACCCAGCTTTAGTACAGTTTTCTATGATAATAGACATTCCCATTATTCAACAGTTTTTTTTTTTCTTTTTCTTTTTTTAAAGGAATAATAACTTATGGAGTACACGTTTTGACAGCTAATATGACGGTCATTTGATACTTCGCAAAAGTTGCAGATGCCTTTACCAACATCAGAATGCTTTTTTGGTGCAGAATTCATTTATACAGCCAGTTATTACACCGATTAAGAAACTTGAATAGGCCTAGGCTACTATAATAAAAAAAATTCTTTCTAAATGTAAAACTAAATAAATTGCTCAAATACTCTTGACACATGAAAGTGTAAATTCCGTAGCCCACAACAAATGTGCAAAGTTATTACATATTATATTTAACAAACGAATTTTATGTAATTTTGCTCGCATGGATAATTGAATATTAATCAGATGATGTCATTACGCTGCTGTGCCGTCAGCCAATCATTGCATTGCTGATTATGTTTTCGAGGATCAATAGATCTGTCCTTCACTACACACGCATTGATCTCAGGTCAATTCATCCAGACATTTTAATCTGATACATAAACTTATTTGAAGAGCCAAATTAGCCAGAGATCAGTTTTCAAGATAAAAAGGATCTGCCAAATCATCATTTAAACGAGGCACAAAGAACAGACCCTAGATAGTTGTATACAAAATTGTTGTCATTGATACTGATTTTATGTTGTTTATTGTGTTGTTTGTTCAGTAAAGCTTTACTGCACACATTGGTTGTAATAAGTGGTTACTTGAGTGACTGTTGCCTTTATCTAGCCCATCTGGTTATTTTCCTCTGACATCAACAGGACATTGTTGTCTGTAAATTGTAGAGTTGGTTGTGCATGAAAGTCCCAGATCGTCTTTACCATGCCTGCATTCCTAAATTGAATTGAATTAAATTGAATTGCACAAAATTTGTCCAGTGTTGGTACCATATTTGTATTATTAAGACATGTGTCTAATAAAGTGGGCAATCTAATTTAACAATTCACATTATTTTACATACTACACACTCTGAAATTCTGCATTTCTATAGCAACACATTTTTTAATTTTAAAGAGGTGGTTAAGCAGCTATATTGGGTGCGTTATTATGTGTTCATACTCTGTTTTGGTTTATTAAAATCACATTATTTATTACATATTTAATCTATTTTTGATACTGGTGTCTGGTCTGATGGCGTCCAGATTCAATGAAGTACGTTAGTTACAAGTTGTTCAAAAAAGTCACAGGTTTATGTAAACATGGGGTTCATGATGTCAAAAACCCATGAAGAATCAAGTTTTAGTCCCTACCAGCCATTTGTTATAGGCTTTAAAAAATAAATTCTATCAAATATGTTTTTTCCCCTATTGCACTGCACTTTAAGGGTAGATTTCATTTACGCTCAAACAGCAATATTACACACTAACCAAAGTTTAAAAATTAAAATCATAATCAAAGCCCCTTAAATACAAATCTTAGTCATATTTGATGGGCACTTAATTTGTGGAATCTCTATTTCAGGCTATCACGATCACCATAACCAACTTCATCACAGATCCCTTGAAGCACATTGGTGAGGGCATCAGTGAGTTCCTGAGAGCCCTGCTGAAGGATCTACCTGTCACTCTCCAGATCCCTGTGCTGATCATCATCATATTGGCAATCTTGGTAAGATCTCTAAATAGCAAATATATTATGCACCTTTTTCTTATAAATCCAGCTTAACCCAAGTTAGCCTTATAATGTAAGGCATCGTTAGTTGTAAAAAATTGGCTATAATTATGCCATTTGTGGCACATACTAAAGCGTCTTTGCTCTCCTCAGATATTTGTGTATGGAAGTGCTCAAGCAGCGATACATCAAGTGGCACGTTTTCCTCGGCTTGGCTGGCGACAAGAACAACCACCTCCTGCAGTCGGACAGCGCCAAAATCCTCAGCTAAGGGCGCATGAGGAACCTTGGGAAGGGGGCGACGCTCGACAGCCACTACCAATGCGGCAGGACAACAGGGGCAATCATGTGGGAAACCGAGGGGATCAGGGCTTCAGAGATGCCAACGCTCCGGAAAATAGAGAGGAGGACAGAAGCATGGACATCCGGCAGGAATTTTCCACCAAAAGAACCCCTGTAGAGACTCTTCAAGCTACAGGTAACACATTTCCAGATGATGAGACTGATTCTCAGCAACGGACTCAAGAGTTGGACTCGGGCGCAAATGTGGAGGAGGAAGTGAAAGTTGAGGAAAAGGAGAAAAAGGAGTCTTTTTCTGTGGACAATAAGGAGCAAAAAGAAACAAAAAGTCCAGACAGAAGTGAACCTATAACCAGTGAGCCACCATCTTCAATAGACGTGAAAACAGTTGGAGCTGATCAAGGGAATGAGGTGGGTTTAATTAATTGACTGATTAAAAAAATTTTTTAAGTCATTTAGATGGTTTGTTAATTAATAATAACACAAATAAATTAATAACACTACTGTTCAAATATCAAATTATGTCTCTTATACTTATCAAGGCTGCAGTTGTTTGATAAAAAAAAAGAATATTGTTAGCGACTGTGATTGTATTAAAAGTTCTGAAAACTGTTTTCTAGGTGAATGCGTGTAAAACATTTCATTAATTCCTGTGATGCATGTCTGGTTGTTGTCTTATTCTAACAATTATAACATGTCTTATACTTAGCAATGTTGAAAATGGATGTGCTGGTTAATGTTTGCAGGAAAGTTCAAGAGAACATGAAAATCATTTGTTACATTTACAATATAAGTAAATTTATCATTTTATCCTTGGTAAACTATAAATATATAATTATAAATATATAATTAAATATACATATATACAGTTGAAATCAGAATTATTAACCCCCTTTTTAATTTTTTTAAAAATATTTCCCAAATGATGTTTAACAGAGCAAGGACATTTTAACAGTATGTCTGATAATATTTTTTTCTTTTAGAGAAAGTTTTAGATTTGTTTTATTTAAGCTTGAAAAAAAGCAGTTTTTATTTTTTTTAAAAAACATTTAAGGTCAAAATTATTAGCCCCTTTCAGCTATATATTTTTTCAATAGTCAACAGAACAAACCATCATTATACAAGAACTTGCCTAATTACCCTAACCTGCCTAGTAAACCGGATTAACCTAGTTAAGCCTTTAATTGTCACTTTAAGCTGTATAGAAGTGTCTTGAAAAATATCTAGAAAAATATTTACTGTCATCATGGCAAAGACAAAAGAAATCAGTTATTAGAAATGAGTAGGCCCACACAGAATCTGCGCGCGCAGAATTCCGCAGATTTTCTGCAGATTTTCCGCAGATTTCTGCAGATTTTTAGCCCATCATTAATTTTGTTTATTTACTTGAGTAAATGTGTAAATCTGAATTTATTCAGTAATTTATTACTTTTTATTTCATATATTAAGGCTTTAGTTATGATACTCCGCTGGATACCCCCAAAAGAATTCCGCAGAAATCAGCAGATTTTTACCAAAATTCTCTGCAGAAATAGCAAAAAACATCCGCAGATTCTGTCTGGCCCTGGAAATGAGTTATTAAAACTATTATGTATAGAAAATTCTTTTCTCTGTTAAACAGAAATTGGGGAAAAATAAACAGGGGGCTAATAATTCTGACTTCAACTGTACACACACACACACACACACACACACACACACACACACATATATATATATATATTTATATATATATATATATATATATATATATATATATATATATATATATATATATATATATATATATGTATATGTGTATATATAATAGTAGGATTAGTACGTTTTTTTCATTTTACAAGACTATTTTATTTGAAAATCAAAAAACATTGTGCAATATATTTTTATAAATTTAAATAACTTTTAATTAATAATAACCGTTTCAATTTAAATAATTTAACAATTATGTGTTTTAAAAATAAACATTAAAAAAATAAATTTAAATATCACATTTTTTTGTTTTGTTTTTATTCTTGTGATCAGAGCTGAGTATTCAGCGTTATTACTTCAGTGTCACATGATGCTTTAGAATCAAGGACATGCAGATTTGCCGTTCTATTTTGATTTATTATTATTATTGCTACAAAATCATTAATAATGATTCTTACAATTATTACTGTATAAAACATCTGTTTCCTGCTTTAAAGTATTGTAGAAACTGTAATGCATTTATGTTTTATTAAAAGTTCAAACTAAAAATCTTTTGCAATCTGTTTATTTTTTACATTATTTTTTTTAAGTCATTGATTCATTCATTAATTTTCCTTCAGCTTAGTCCCTTATTTATCAGGAGTTGCCACAGTGGAATGAACAACCTACTATATCATTATACGTTTTACGCAGCGGATGCCCTTCCTGCTACAACCCAGTAAACACCCACACATTCACATTTACACAGTATAGCCAGACGATAGTGCTAACATTCTTGAACAATTTAATGTGTTCTTTATGAATAAAAGTAAATACATTTTTAATGGTACTTTTGTCTGCTATTGTGTCAGATTCCAAAAAAAAAAATGTGGAAAAAAAATCAGCAGCCCAACAGCTTTCAATACACTGACACTATTAATAGTAGAAAAAAAAAAATAATAATAATAATAAAAATAATAATAAATGTTTTCTTTTTGACAAGCAGATGATGCTTTTTAGAAGATTTGTGAAGCATCATGTGACACTGAAGGTTGGATAAATAATATTGAAAATGTAGCTTTAAATTGCACTAATCAATTAACATTTAAAGTACCTTCAATAAAAAGTGTTTTTATATTGCAATAACATTGCACAATTTTACAGTTTGTATTGTACTTTTCATGGAAAAATGCTACCTTTGTGAGCAGAATAAGCATGTTTTAAAGATGTATGTTAGGATGCTCCAAAGTTATTTCATTTTGGAAAAGGTGCAGTGCTATGAATACTTTCCAGATGCACTGTGTGTGTGTGTGTGTGTGTGTGTGTGTGTGTGTGTGTGTGTGTGTGTGTGTGTGTGTGTGTGTGTGTGTGTGTGTGTGTGTGTGTGTGTGTGTGTGTGTGTGTGTGTGTGTGTGTGTGTGTGTGTGTGTGTGTGTATATATATATTTTTTTTTTTTTTGAACAGCATATTTTATTTTTATTTTAATAAAATTATAATTATTAATTAATTTATTTTTTATTCAATCAATGCAGCACTTGATGTGCACGAAAAGGAAATGGGCTGCTCAAAATGGCTTCAAGCTGCAGGTTATATTATGCGAGATTAACTCAGTATGTCTATCATTACAGATAAAATGACAATTCGTTGATTTATATGACAGAAATCAATGTTGCATTTATCAGTCTGTGAGTTCTTTTAAGTTGTAGTGAATAGAGCATGTCATTGTGTGTTTTATTGTGTGTGTATATCCCATCACCAAAAGGTGAAAATTTACTCATACTCAAGTGATTGGAAATCAATGAGTACGCTTACATGGACATCAATAATCAGATTTAGGGCCAAAATGCAGTTAAAGTCAACAAATTAAAAATGAAGCACCTAAAATTACATGAAACTACAGAGGAAACTTGGGTAGCCTAATGACGCAATGACGTTAATTGAATTATTAATCATGTTATAGTCTTATTCAGATTAGGGCAAATAATTTGATTACTGATGTCCATGTAAACACAGTCAATGGCTGCTACTGTCCATCATTCTACAAAATATCTTGTTTTGTGTTATTTGTTTTGTTTTTAGTTTTTTACTGATGCCAAGAACCCATTCCATGTGGTTTTATGTTGTACTCACTGTATAATAAATATAAATAAATAAAAGATGAATAATAATTTAGACCAGTAATTATTTTCTTTTATCCCCGTAGGAGGCATCAGCAGATCTTCCTGAGGAAGAAGAATGTTTCAGCTTTAAACATCCAGTTCAAGAAACACAGAGTTAACATGGTCTGAGAAATGTTTTTGAATGAACAGGTTTTTATTTTTATTTTTAATTTTATTTATTTTTTTTGTGGGATGTATTTTTAATTAAATGTAGGGAAAACTGATTTCCCCCCTTAAAATTAAACGTATATTATCTACGTTTGCCTTGCGTTTGGTTTCATTTCCACACGTAAATCAAGTAAATATCCTGAACCACCCAAAAGATGATATAAAGCTGGGGTGCTCAACCCTGTTCCTAGAGATCTACCTTCCTGCAGAGTTTAGCTCCAACCCTGATCAAACACAACTAAACCAACTATGTAGGATCTGAAGGAGCACTTGGTATTTAAAGACAGGTGTGTTTGATCAAGGTTGCATTTGTACTCTGCAGGAAGGTAGATCTTCAGAAAAGGGTTGAACACCCCTGATATAAAGAGTACTTACAAGTATCTGCCTCTTATTTGTCTGAACAGTGTCATTGGTTTAGGAGCATACTAGCCTGGAAATATTAAGCTTTTTCATTGCTGCTCCTTATCAGCCATCACACACACACTAATAAAATACGTTGCTGGATTAAATCTCAATGTTTTATTTATTTCATTATTTTTTATTATTGTTAATTTCATAAGCCCCAGCAGAGAATTAGATTTTTTGGGTAGTCTTTTTTTCATTTAAGCTCACACCTTGTCAGTGAATTCACTGATCATGGCTCCATATTGTATGATATTATGTTGTGTCATTTATTATGTATGGTTTGTTTTGTTTACATTTATTTGAATAAATGTTTTCTTTGTAAAGTGCTGAGCTGAAAGCACTGTATTAAATTACTTTATTTTATTAATATTATTATTAGTAAGAACTCTGTCAAATTATTTGAAAGAGCTGTATGTCATATCATCATACCGCCATTTCTTGTAAAATAAAACGTCTTTTTCTTGAACACAAGTAAGTCGTGAGTCTTCATTGGCTGTAAGTTGGATGATGTTTGTCAAAAGTGCTTGTATGCTGAGCTCAGAAACAATAATTAAAGGCCACCTATTTTACTCCTTTTACAAGATGTAAGATAAGCCTTTGGTGTCTCCAGTATATGCTTGTAAAGCTTCAGCTCAAAACACTGATCCCAATATTTACTATAGCCTCCAGAATTTGCCTATTTTAGTGTACAGTGTAGCTGTTTTTGTAGTCTGCGGCAATAAATGTAAATGAGCTGCTTGTCTCCGCCCACCATTCCCACCTGGTTATCTCCTTCTCATCATGCATTATGTCAGATAAACAGCACAGTGACAGAGACAGACTTGGATGAAGCTGAAATACAGCTCATTAGTCAAAAATACGAAGTAAGTTTATTTAATGTATTTGTTGTGAAGTTTATTCAAGCATTTCTGAAACGATGAGCCCCATATAAATGTCGTTTGCAGTACATACACCCACACATTAGTGTTTACTGACACTATGCTGTCATGGTGATTATATCAGTTAAGAATTGCATAGCGATTTTACTCTCTTCATTAAAAACATGCTGTTTTAAAAATGTTTTAAACCTATAAAAACCACAAATTTGTAACAAATATTTTAATCTCAGTTTAATTGGGAAAAAAATGTTTTGTAGACGTGCTTATATGTTTTTAGAAACATGGCTCCTGTCAATCAATTCAGTGGGCGGGGAAAATCACACTCCTACATCACGTTGTGGTGGGGCTCAAAAACATTGGGATTTGGATCCTAATTTAACGTCAGGAAATATAAAAATGAAACTTGTTGTGTTTATATCACTCCAGTATTACTGTGTACAAACCCAATTCCTTTCCAAACAGCTTACAAAAGTTGATTTTCATAGGTGCCCTTTAAAAAATAGTTTGCTCAAAAATGAAAATACTGTTCATATTTACTCTCCCTTCATTTGTTCCTAACCTGTTTGAACGTCTTTCTTCTGTTGAATGTAAAATAAGGAAACTTGAAGCCCCATTGACTTCCAGTATTCGTTTTACTATGAAGTGGTTGCAGGTTTTCAGCTTTTTTTCCCCAAATATCTTCCTTAGTGTTTAACAGAAGAAAGAAACTTGAGGGTAAGTAAATAGTGAGTACATTAAATTTTGGGGTGAACTAACGTTATCCCTTTAAGTTTGATGAAACATCCCTGTAAAGGACACGTTCATACCTTACATTTGTGTACTTATACTCATTAAAAGCACATCTGCTGCGTTAAAAATAGCATGTGGTCTGTGTGTGTCTTCTAACCGAAACTCTTTAGTTCCTCCTTCGAGCTTTTGTACGAGGTGCAACCACAGATAAACAGTTAAAAAAAGTGCTGCAGAAGGGACGTTTCACTTCGTACAGTTTACTCAGCCACGCCCACCTGGAAATCTCTTCGCCCCTGATTGGTCGATGTGTGGCAGTGAACGTGTTTCAGCTGTGACGTCAGACGCGAGGTTATTTAGCAATTTAATGGTCAAGGAGCACTTGTGGTTTTGGGAAACGCGTTTTATCGTGGTCAGCAGGCGACATGGAAATGACTGAAAGGTTCTGCCAAGGTTTCAGAGTTGACCTGCCAAAGTAAGTTAAACAAACGTATTTCTGAAATGCTTGAATTATTTTGCATTTTGTTTTGTAAACAACTATGAATACAAACTTTATAATTTCGGACAGATCAGATATTGTATGATTTCAATGCCCTGACCGTAATAAAATCATTATTGTTTGTGTTTCATTCATAAAGCCAAATAAAGTAGAGCGTGTCAGGAACTGTCAATGCTGTAAATACACACAAACACGCTAACGCAGCCTTGGACTTGTAACTTACCCTTGGTAGTGTACAAAAAAAGTACAAGAAGTGCTTTTGCAGTTATTCATCATGGCTCAGTTAAAGTTTAAGAAGCGCATATTCAGCTATTTTTTCTTTCCTTTTTTTTTGGTCAATGACCCCTCCATCTTCCTCATCCGAAACAGAACTCTGTCACATGGTTAATGTGTCACTCAAAGTTAATTTATCATCTCTATTTGCTCTCAAAATATGTTTGTGCCATAATACAAATAACACAAGAGCATGAATGAGGTAAAGTTGGCTTTTTATTCACACATTCAGACTTTCTCCTTGATGATATAATTTCAGAAAAGTATTCTTTGCAAAATTCCTAATAGTGAAATAATGCTAGCAACCAACAGCTATCAAAATACAACATTGTTCACAGTCAATTAAATAGTGCTCATGTTGTTTTGAAGTCATGTTTACATGTGATTTCAGTTAAGATATTCAAAGTACCCTGGTAAACAATATAAGGAGCATGTCACAAGTTGTCATTGAACAAATGTGCGAATATAAAACTTTCCCTCAATTAAAGCATGTTATCTTATGTAAACATCAATTTTGATGATAAATTAAAATCGGTTTGCAAGATTGTTTATTGAATAATACATTTCAACAATAATGATAAACTGATAATGATAATCTTAATCAAGATAATTATGTTTTGAATAATATGTAACATGCTTTATTGTTATTAATGAGTATTATAAAGTTTGTATCTCATTGTTTAAACTAACTGGGAAAGCTGAAGAATTGTTCAAAGCCTACTGATTTAATCAGTAAAGCCTGTTAAAATAATCAATGATTAGGCAAATATTCATTACACTAATAATAATCATTAGATTATTCATTCATTCATTTTCTTTTTGGCTTAGTCCCTTTATTTATCTGGGGTCGCCACAACGGAATGAACCACCGACTTATCCAGCATATGTTTTTTCCAGCTGCAACCCATTACTGTGAAACATCCATACACATCTTAAACTATGCAATAGCTCAAATGTAAAATTAAATGCTAAATGTTCTTAACCATGTATTTCATGGAGCAAAATTGTAAATGTTCATAGTCTTGTATTTGTATATATTTTACTGTAGTGGCTCCACCTCCGTGGATTCTGATCCAATGACAGAGGAGAAACTGAGAGACGACTTGAGGTTTTACTTCATGAGCCCTTGTGAGAAGTACAGAACCCGACGACAGCTGCCATGGAAATTAGCAGTGCAAATTTTTAAAATATTCATGATTACACTCCAGGTATTTTTGAGATTACTTTCTTGCTGAAATCTGTTATTTATTTATTTTTGAACACTGTAAGTCTACTATGAGTAAACCTGGTTTCTACAAAAGCACCTCAGGTGGGACTAACGTTTTTTTTTCAACCAGTGTCAACTGGAGTAGCTAGGAAAACTGTTTGGACAGTCATTTTTTTTGCTCTTGCTATTAGTGGAGAGATTGTCTATTTCAGCTTTAATCCTAAACCCTTTGAAGGATTTCTTCATATTTGACTAAACCAAGTAGTTTTGTCTTTGTAAATGATAATTTAACACTAAATGCTACATATAATGCTAAAATGTTCCTTCAGCCAGACTAAAAACTTCTTCTCTTCTTCTGTTCATTCTTTCCAAAGCTCATACTGTTTGGACTGAATAACCAGCTTGTGGTGTCCTATAAAGAAGAGAACCTGATGGCCTTCAAGAATTTGTTTTTGAAGGGCTACAGTGGTGTGGATGAGGATGAATACAGTATTTCCATCTACACCAAAGAGAGAGTATTTGATAGTTTACACTATGTATTAGATCAGGTTTGTATTTTTGTTTAATCTGTCTTCTTCCCTCCAACCTATTTCTAGATTCTTACCATCATTTTGTTAGCATATTAATTATGTAAATTGTTGCTTGTTGTTATTTTTTGTTCTATTGGACTTTATACAATTTAGATTTATCACTAGCCACGTTTCCATCCATATATGAAAATTACCTTAATGCGCAAAACTGGATTATCACATAAAAGACGTGCGAATAAAGCAGCATTTCTATCCAACGAGTCAAAGCGAACACTTCCACGAATCGTCACTTCCTGATTAACTGGTGCCAAATTTATTTATTCATTCATTTTCTTTTCAGCTCAGTACCTTTATTAATCTGGCGTCACCACAGTGGAATGAACTGCCAACTAATCCAGCATATGTTTTTACGCAGCAGATGCCCTTTAAGCTGAAACCCATTTCTGGAAAATATCCTTACACACTTATTCACACTCATACATTACGGACAACTTAGCTGACCCAATTCACCTGTACTGCATGTCTTTGGACTGTGGGGGAAACCGGAGCTCCCGGAGAAAATCTACGCAAATGCAGGGAGAACATGCAAACTCCACACATAAACGCCAACTGACCCAGCCAAGGCTCAAACCAGCGACCTTCTTGCTCTGAAGCAACAGCACTACCTACTGCACCACTGCGTCGCTCCTGGTGCCAAACATCAACAGTAAAAACAGAATTTGCTGCGGTAGAAGAAGCTGCGTAAAACTTCTCTTCATTTAATAAATGACTTGTGCCTCAGAAGGGAATCCTGACATGCAGTGAATGCCTGGTGGTGTTTGAAGGTGTCAAACGCTGAGCACAGACGCTCTTGATTCTGGAGGTGATTAATAATATAATATCACTAGTACTGAAATGGTTAAGGCATTTTAGAATGACCACAACATAATTTTAGAAGTTTTACAATGTGCTCAGCCTGCTGGTTTATCCATTCGCGCACATTTTTATTATCACATGATCTCTTATAACAAAAACATATGACCTTTTTTAATGCGCATACTGGAATTTGTTCAGTAAAAGTATTTTCATCGCAATTTATGCGCATCTTTTCTTAACAAATTAAAAAGTTTATCCTACTCAGTTATGTGCATAGGGTTTTTATATGCATCTTGCCGTTTCCATTAACCTTTTTTTGTGCATTTTGGATATGCGCATAAAAAATGGTTGATGGAAACGCCAAGTTGCGCATAAAAATAGTTAATGGAAACATAGCTACTGCTGCTTTACATACAGTCGATTGACAGAACGGGATAAAAAGCCATAACAGTATTTTAGTTTGTGGGACGTATTCAGCATATACAGTAAGATGGGTATCAGAGCAGAAATAGAAAGCTACTGTAGTTCTAATTGGATTAAATCAGATTCAGTTCAGTTTATAGATGCTGCATGTTAGTTTTTGACTCTTCTAAAGCATTAAAATGTCATATCTCTGAGAGTTTTCAGAAACATGCTAAGCAAACCTACTTGTTTATCTGAAAAACAATGCTACAGTCCTATTATTCTATTATTCTGCTTTGAAAATGTTCATTCCGTTCTGGATTTTTTTTGTGTCTGTAACTCCGCCCACTTCCAGTTTATCCAACTATATTTCAGCACCAAGGTTTGCCTTGGCATAAAACAACATACCCAGTCTTGGAGGCTGCTTCAATACATGCAGATTCAACTGAAATAGTATTCCTGTCGCTTCCAAAATTAATATTGAGCCACATGGATTGATTTAATAATGTCTTAATATTAATAATAAAAATAAATAAATAAAAACACTAATCTATGACAGAACAACCGAACAGCACCTCAGATTTTAATTAAAGTATTTTTAGTTGTATTGAGGATCAATGAAAGTCTCAGGTGTAAGCAATAAAAAGAGGGTGAGTAATATAGTGGTGTGAATAAAGCATAATGTAAAATCAGATCAGGAGGCCATGCTTATTTTTGCCTCAGTTTCACTGTGTTCCATTTAAAAAGTTCATTCTTATGCCTTAATCCCTTTTAAAGGTTTACCCTCTGCACACTCAGAAATAAAAGTACAGGAGCTGTCACCAGGGCAGTACCTTTTCAAAAGGTACATATTTGTATCTGCAAGGTCCATAATGATACCTCAAAGGTACTTTTTAGGTATGTTTGGACACTAAAATGCACTTTTGAGGTACCACTGTGGACTCTTTGGGTACAAATATGTATTTTTTGAAAAGGTGCTGCCACAGTGACAGCTCCTGTACCTTTATTCCTGAGAGTGTAGAGTGACAGCTTTGAAGGGATTATTGTAGCATAGGGATGTTTTTTTATTTTTTTTTATTATTATTTTTTTTTGTATAGAGTGCCGTGTGCTACATTATTCAACTTCCTAGTGTCCATCAGTTGCACCCTTCAAATTATTTCATTACAAAGGTGGCCAGTTTTGAGCACTCGAGTACTTGGAACAACACCTCAGTATGACGGCCATGATTGTTTTCTTTCCAAAGTGCCATTCAAAGGGTGATATATCCCGTTTGGAACACACCACTAATTGGCAATATTTATAGTAACATCCATTTTGTTTGTTGCACTGCTTGGTTTTAATAGACATATACTGACACCTAGTGGAAAAACGAATCATTACGTGAAAGAAGTGAATACCTTGATAAAGCAGAGTATGCGGCTTGTCATTTCAAAACATCTTGGTACCCTTTCCTTTTTGTTAGGCTTATTTAATGTATTTATCATATCTATATTTCTTGATGTAAATTTAAAGTTAAAACATGCACAGAATACAGTTTGTCTATCTCTTCGACAGTACGCGCAGTTACAAAACCTGTCTGTGGGTCCCATTAGTTATGCTGAAGAAAATGGAGAGTTTTCTCCCATGATTATATGTAAGAAGAGCTACAAAAGAGGCGATGTCCAACCATCTGAGGATGTCTATGACATTGAGGCCCAGCTTGAAATAGGTTACACTTTTTTTGTAAATACTGGAATCTGGTAGGAATCGTAAATATAGTGACTAAAATGTATATGTTTTTCTTTTCAGTTTGCTTAACTCTTGATCAAAAGTCTGTCTTGACGTGGAGGATGAACAATGCTTCGTTTTTTGAGTTGGACTTTTATAGGTTTGTAAATCTATACTTTATATATTGTATTGTAAAAATTACTAAGTTGTGATTACAGTTATTTTGTTTGGAATACAGGCTTGTGGGAATTGAAATCACTTTTGCACTCGAGGGAATTAATCTGCAGACAGTTCGTTCACATGAGCTGCCAGACTGTTGCACATTTTTTGTGAAGGTAAGACCCCCTTTTAGAATTAACTCTCATAACAAATACATGTCCATCTTGACCTGAAGAGATGCATACAAATTAATTTAAAAAGCTGTGTTTTTTTTAAATAAAGGATTTAAACTCAAAAACATTTTGCACATAATCTTTTTACTTTTATTTTGTAAGAAATACCTATATTAAAAATTAAGTTTTTTTTTTTTTTTTGGATAATTTTGGACCCTTTTTGAGTATGGAGGACATTTAGTTATCAAAATATGTCTTTAACATCTAATAATATCAGTTATTAATCATAAAATATGTTTGATTTTGCTTTTTCACATACCTTGCACAGTTTTTTTTTTACATTGCATCAAGTTTATTATAAAACACTGATTACTTTTTTCAGTAAAACAAATCTACAAAATGTAAAAAAAAATGGTTTTATTTTTATTTCTTGTTATATTGTATTATATTACATCTTAAATTTGTAAGTTTGATGAATTCGGGCTGTTCTTGAGCAAATTCATAGTTTTGCAAATTTAATAAAAGTCCATTCATCCAAAGACAAAACAAAAAGTTAAAATGTAATTTTTTTCCATGTTCGTTAATGATTAGTTTTAGTTAGCAAACATAGTAAGTTATGACTACTTTATTGTAGTCTCAAATTTACATCTCAAATTTAATGCAAATAAAATCCTATACAGATTTTTATATGTTGAAATGTTTTATTGAAAAAAAACTCAAATTATTACATATTTTTATCTTTGTTGTTGTTGTTTTTTTACAAAAGAAAAGTAAAAAAAATTGAAAAAATGACAAAAGAATTAATAGAAAGGCAAAAGAAAAATGGATACGAGTAATAAAAGTGTACAAAAAATTACAGTCGACTGGATGCAGTAATTCACAATCAGAATCAAACGTTCAGATACGTTGTCAATGTTGAAAGTAAATATTTACAATTAAACAGTATGAGAGAATAGTAGTTAAAAACAAACAAAAAATAAACTACCACAAAATAAAGAAATTAAAAGAAAGGAGAGTGCGTCTGTTAAATGAAAGGCAAGATGTTAAGAAAACATTGCCACTTTTTATAGAAATTTGTTTGCCCAGAGCATCTTACCTCTTCCAACTTTAGAAAATACATGATATCCACAAGTCAGAATGTAGTTGGAGCCTTATTTGATTTACAGTAAAGTAAAATACAGCACCTCATATACAGATTTTTAAAACAATCATAAAGAACAATGAAATGATCATGATCTTGATTTAGCTTGCATTCATTCATTCATTCGTTCATTCATTCACTTACTTATTTTCAGATTGACTTTGATAACAGTTGTCATAGTGGGAAGATGAAACTGAGTCTTGATTTTGATGCTGTTAGTAGCTTGTGCAAAAACTGGAGGATTTCAGGAACTGGTAAGTAAAATGTTTAAATGTCGTTTAGTTGTTAACGTAATGCGAGATGCATGTAAAGAATGTTTGTCTTTTACAGCTCAGAAAAACACTCTGTACCTCCTGATTTTTGATGGATTTGTTATTCTGGTGTGTCTTATTTCTGCCATTCTCTGCACTCGCTCCATTATACTTGCTGTGAAGTTACTTCAGGTAAACATTGCACCTACAGTACACTCAAAAAATACTTGCTTTACTCCTTGTTCAAGCTACCTAAAATTAGTTGAAATGGCACAATTGTTAAGTTTTTTGGGAAAACCTAATTGTTTTACAATCAATCTACTTACATTTGTAAAACCAATTAAGTTAACTTAATCGATTTCGGTTGGGAAACATGAATTGTGTGGACCCAGCATTTTTTTATAGTGTAATGCTTTTAGCTATTTTAGCTGTTTTCTGTCATTCATTGTGAATCAGTGTCTTATTTCTGTTTGCTGTCAGTGATTTCTTGATGTGTCACTTCCTTTGTCCGCAGCGATTCTCCAGCTTCTGTCTTGACAATTATAACCATAAAGTGTGTGAAGAGGATCAGAGGGAGTTTTTGAATGGCTGGTATGTTTTGGTGATCATCAGCGACGTGATGGCCATCATCGGATCCATATTGAAGATGGAAATACAAGCTAAGGTGAAGACATTTTTGCTGATGCATTAGGTCACGGCTTTCAATCTCAATTCCTGGGGGACATCAGCCCTGCATAGTTTATTTCCAGCCCTGCTTCAACTCACCTACAGTTTGTGTAGGTATCAAACAAACCTAAATCACTCAATTAGTTTGATCAGGTGTGTTTAATTAGAGTGAGAACTAAACTGTGCAGAACTGCGGGCCTCCCTGTTCAACACCTGTGCATTAGACATTCAAATATGTTGAAAAAACAATTTTTTTTTATTTAGGAAACTACAATGCTGAATGTTGTAGATCGTATTAATTTATCTTCCAATTCACTCGACACATTTAAATAAAATTTCTATTATTATTTGAAAGATATTATTTTCTATTATTATTTACAGCATACTCTTTTTAAATGTGTAATTTTTAGAATTTATAATTGAAGTATTTTAGTGTATTTATTGTGTTGGCTTATCTAATTAGTTTTTTTTTTATTGATTGAGATGTTTATTATAAAGTATTACTTTAAATTTAAGTTGTATTTAAGTACAATTTACACAAGTTTATATAAATTTGGAAGCAAAACGTGATATTGAGTGTTGATTCTTAAAAACACTATTTACCACTTTTTATTTAATATTTATTGATTATGCAATTTAAATTTGCAGAGAACATTTGCTTAATTTGTGAACATTATTCGAATTTTAAAGTGAGTTGCGAGCAAATATTAAATATAGAAATGTCATTGTTTTTATTTTGTTAATTTTTTTTAATACTTTTTTTATTGTTAAAATTTGGGGGTAAATAATCATGAAGGCAAATTAATTTGAGAGAAAATTTACCTATGTTTTATAAATCATATTACTGGCCAAAATAACAATTTAGTTGTTAAATATGTTATGTAATAAATAATGTTATAATAGCTGTTTGAACATTGCGTTATGATTAAATTCCCTCTTACAGTCATGAAATAGTTTGAAAACGAGCAGGAAATGTTCATGGGCCCATGACATGACCACATTGAAATGGTCTATATACAGTTAGGTTCATAAATATTTGGACATCAACACAATTCTAACATTTGCTCTATACACCAACACGATGGAATTGAAATGAAAAAAAACAAGATGTGCTTTGACTGGAGACTGTCAGCTTTAGATTAAGGGCATTTACGTCCTAATCAGGTGAACGGGGTAGAAATTACAACAGTTTGCGTGTGTGCTTCCCACTTGTTAAGGGTCAAAAAGTAATTGTACAGTTGGCTTTTCAGCTTTTCCATGGTCACGTGTGTGTTATTGTTAGTGTGTAAGTGCTCCAGTTTGCCCCACAGTTAAGACATGCGCTATAGATGAAATGAACAAACTAAATTGGCTATAATGTATGAGTGTCAATGTGAGTTTATGTGTTTCCCAGTACTGGGTTGCAACTGGAAGGGCATCCGCTGTGTAAAACATGTGCTGGATAAGTTAGCTTAATGACCCCTGATAAATAAGGCACTAAGCCGAAGGAAAATGAATGATTGATTACAGTATATGATGTTTACTTTGCCCCTACATGAAAGTGCAAGTTTGGTGTACACTTTAAATGTTATAAACTCCTCTCCATCCTCATCCAGAGTCTGACCAACTATGATGTCTGCAGTATCTTACTGGGCACGTCCACTCTCATGGTTTGGGTCGGCGTTATTCGATATCTGGGATACTTTGAAAAGTACAATGTAAGTCAAAATGAATCACTAGAGCAACATGAATGCAAACACCCTAGCAAGATTTCCATGATTAAGCGCAAGTGATTTTTTTTTTTTTTTTTTAAGCAAGACTGATCAATTATTAAAGCATTAAATGTTTTGTGTACATGTTATGTGACACAGGTGCTCATCCTCACCATGAGAGCTGCTTTACCGAAGGTGCTTCGCTTCTGCTGCTGTGCTGGGATGATCTATCTGGGCTACACCTTTTGTGGCTGGATCGTCCTAGGACCCTACCATGAGAAGGTACCGGCGGACGGTCAATAGAATTGTCAGTCAGTCAGTTGGTCTATTTGTAAGTCAGTCGGTCAGTCAATCAGCCATACTGGTGAGTCTGTCTATCTGTCTGTCAATCAGTCGTCATTCAATCGATCAGTAAATAATTCAGTCAGTTGGTCTCTGTGCCAGTCAGTCAATCGGTTGTTTTTTCTGTCATTCAATCAGACTGTCATATAGTAAATAAGTCAATCTGCTTTTTTCAGTCAGACTGCCACTTATCAGTCAATCAATCTTTCAATTAAACTGTCTATATGAATTAATAAGTCATTTAGTCATTTAACCTAGCAGTAAATAAGTCAGTCAGTCGGTCTATTTATCAGTCAGGCAGTCAGTAGATCGGTCTGTCAATTTGTTGTTCTGTTCGACAGTCTGTCTGTCAGTGGCTCTATCAATAAATGAATTAACTGGTTATTCTGTCAGTCAGTCTTTCTATCAGTCACG